GGACTCCATTACAATAATCCAATCTTGATGTAACCAATGCATGTACAAGTTTATGTAAATATCTTCACATTTTGGTGCGCACATGGCTCAGTCATGATTCTAATCTTAGCCTAGTAAAATATGATCTCTGCCAAAAGACAATGCTGATAATTTCCCATTTTTCTACCCTGGATATTAATTCAAATTTACACTATATTATAAACGATATGTGATGACATATTAACTCCTCAGTGAGGCTTTGCTATTCGGATGTACAAGGAATACTTGTATATAAATATGAACAATTTAGGTGATATTTACCGATGTGTATGTTTTCCTAACAGGTGCTGTTGAGCTTGAGAATCTTCCTCTAAGAAAGGACGCCCTCAAGGAACTTGACTTACCATTGGAAGTGAAAGCTGGTAAAATTCCTAATTACCCTCTTCAAAATTATAATGTATTTTATAGTGTAATTATGAAACCTGTTTATAAATATGCAAATATTATGATATTCTGAAGTTATGGTAGATAATCCCTACATCTGTTTTTTAATTTTCAAATTAAATTTTTTACTTAACACAGGCTATATTGGTCGTATCAAGTTGCAAATTCCAGTCCGCCACCTTAAAAGCGAGCCGTGGGTGATTTCAATCGACAACTTATATCTTGTTGCGGGCCCAGCAGCCAGATCATCTTACAATGCTGACAAAGAAAAAGCTTGGCAGAAAGAACACAAAGACAAGCAGTTGCAGGCATTGGAAAGCCAATGGAAGGTAGAATAGTGTTAATTTAATTTTATTCCAGATATAGTAAACCATACTTATTTTACTGGACGGCATAGTGCATTTCTGCACTAATTGCCCGACTTCCTCTATAGTCCACCTATACCCTCGGTTCTTCTCGGATAATGTCCGAGTCATGAAGCAACTCGTTATGTTTTCGATAATTTCAAATTTTACTTTTTATTGTGCTTACACAACAATATTAGGGTACGGCAAACATTAAAGTTTTGTTACTTTAAGTAAAGAACACATATCAATATTCTGTTTACACAACATATTAGAGAATGTTAAAACAATAAGATATTGCATTCAGTCTATTAACAAACGTTCATAAGGTAAACATTTATGTATGATCGTTAGTGGACATGGTCCAGGGATTGCATTTTTGTATTCATTTACAATTTGAAAATTATTTATCAAATGATTTACTTTTTTATTATTATTTGTTATAAATTTAGTTTTTTTTTTCACACAGACCAAATTTAATGGCTCTTAATAGGTGGCCCTATACCCAAGTCTGTCTAGATCCCATTTGATGACATTTTTCCAAGTTGTTTTAGGTCATCCTGGTCTGTGATTTCCATGTGTGGGGTTCCAAATAAGTTTGGGAATCTGGTGACTTTCCATTCACAAGTGGCCAAAACATTATAGTCTATGAGTTGTGGTTGTTTGGTGTTTGACCTGTATTATTAGAAATATGTTGTGACCAAATTATTCTCAGAATCTGTCTTAGACATCCCATGTAAAGTAAACAATTTAATGCTTTAAAAAACTAATCTGGGAGTGGAGATGTTTATAATTGTGAAGAAAAATGCAGAAATTTGTACAATTGAAACTTAGGACACAGATTGGTACTGTAAGCATCAAGGATGCAGTTTAACTTGTCTGTCCTAGGCTCACATTTCGACATGACTTACTATTTATTCTCAGGCCAAAGGCAGTTAAACCTTTCTGGAATAGGACTCACATTGGCTTGAAATCATTTTTTACTTCTCAGGCCAAGATGCACATAAATTTCAGGCATATCTTGTTGATTTCTATTACTTAAGTTTCTCAGGCTGAAATGCAGGAAAACCTGTCTTTATGCTTATTTTCTTAAATCACATTTGCTTTATATTCAGGCCAAAATGCAGTTAAACCTGCCTGTAGCAGGCTCATCATCATGGTACACTTATTCTACATCTCTTCTTTACAACATCATGGAAAATTTGCAGGTAAGACATCCAGGTTTGCTTTTCTTACTTTTTATCTTTGGACAGAAGTTGATTGTATTTGTTGAACTTTGTTTTTGCATTTTGGATGTGTTTAATTCAGTTGAAATTCCTGTTTCAGTTTCATGATAATAGTGTAACTTTCACAGTTTTCAATCACAGCTTTATTCCACCTAATGTATCAAACATATAATGGTGATTATAATAGTAATTATAATAATATAGTTTGATCTCCAATTTGAGATAACTTTTGGGACCTGAAAATGTGAGGTGGTCTTGTGGTTTGATCTCTCATTTAGAGGGTTAGATTTAGGATTGTTAGTTCGAAGAAGTACTTTGAAGAACTGAATAGTGATGTTATTATAAATTGCAAGACTACTCATAATAAATTTCCTTGAATATTAGAATTATATATTTTAAAATTTCAGCTTGTTGTAAAGGATGTCCACATTCGCTATGAGGATTCATCGACAATACCAAATGAAACATTTGCATTTGGTATCACCATAACAAGCCTATCAGCTCAGAGTACAAATGAAAACTGGGTAATTACATAGATATTACTTAGCTCCATAGGTTAATTAAGAAATTAGTGCATCGAGAAACGACATGAAGGAATTGTATAAAAAAATAATTGTTTTTACTTTTGAAATTCCATTTTGTTAAAAAAAAACATATTCCCATCAGGATTCAAACCTAAGATCCTCAATATTGCTGCACACTAAATTTTATATATGACTTTTTTTATATCAGGACACAAATTTTGCCAGTGAAAGCGACAGTAAAATGCGTTTCAAATTGATTGAATTGAAAGATTTTTCCATGTATTGGGATATGGATACTGAATTACTCGGTGACCAGAACTGGGAGGATTTGACAGTAAGTTGAATAATGCTACTTGTTGCTTAAACCACTCTCTAGAATGATTATCAGTTGTGTAAAATAGTCCCTTAAAAAACATTGCATGTTGATGCTGTTTATGACTATGATGAAGACGTTGATGATAACGGCGATAATGAGTATGATAATGATGACTACATAGGTGATTACTACAATGAATATGATGACGATAATGAAGAGGATGATGAAGACAATAATGACTGTGGTGATGAGAGGATAGTGATGAGGATGACTATGGTGGTGGGATGAAGATAAATATCATGATGTTGGTGAGGATAAAGGTGGTGATCATGATGATGATGATTATGGTTGTGGTAAACAATGATGATGATGACATGATGTTAATAATATACAATAATGCTGCCAATACAAGGTACTGTTTATGTTTTCATACCACCTGATGACTTAATTATAATTGCTGTATTTTCTCACCATCTCAAAATTAGGTTTCACTTCAGAATGCAGCAGATAATTCTGGTAAGCAGAAAAAGGTGAGTCATCAATTAATGTTTTTACTAACAAATAACTTGTGCCCTCGTTTTGTCACTAAATGAAAAAAATTCATTGCAAATGAATGTTATGTGCTACTCACATAACTGTTGTGCCCCCCTGTTTGAAAAATTCTGGATCCGCCCTTGATTGGTGATATATCAAGTCGCTTCACTAAAAAAAAACAGAAATATGTAGTACCTAATATTGATAATAATAATAATTGAGGGAGAACATGCGAGATATTAACAGGGGCAGCAGTTCACAAAACTTTTTCCATGCACACCTTGTGCGAGTAATAGAACTAGAATAAAGAATTAAAAAAATTTTATTTCATTGTAGGAACATGAGTACCTCTTGGAGCCAGTAACTGCTAAAGCTAAACTTAGAAGAAATTGCTCTCCATTTCCTCTCCGATCTCGTTCAAAACCACGCTTCATTGTTGACCTAGAACTGGACAAAATACCGCTGTCCTTGTCACAAAATCAATACAGATGCTTGGTTGGTCTACTAAAAGAATTTGAAAGACATGGACAGTCACTCAAATTTAGGAAATTTCGACCTGAAGTTCCAATAGCCAGCAAGTCAGTGAAGCATCTTTTCATCATCAATTTTTAAATATTTTTAAAATTTTCATTTTCCATTTAAATTAGAGTATTGAGATTCAGAAACTTGTAATGTTTTTCAAACATTATTATATTGTCTTTAGATTTTAAAAGTCCCTATATGAAGAGAGCTAACATTATTTATTATTATCATGATTATCATTATTCTGATAATTATTGTTTATTTTATCATTATCATTGTTATTATTAGTATGTCTTTCAGTATGTGGATTTCAATTGTCAAAGGGCAATCTTTTGAAATATAGTTCCATAAGAAAATAAAGAAGTATTTAATGACTATTTAATTTACAGCACCAGGTTATGGTGGCAGTTTGCAATTAACAGCGTACTTGACGGTATCAAAGGACGCAGTGAAAGAGGAACCTACAAGTTCATGAAAAAAAGGATACAATTCAACAAGCAGTATATAGCAACATATACCAAGATCCTGACAGCTGATGTGGAGGTCAAAGGTGATAAGGTAACGTATACTCTGTCTCTTATACACATCTAGATGTGTATAAGAGACAGGTATATATATATATATATATATCTCGTCATAAATCCATGTGTGTTCTTGAAAATATATAAAAGGCGTTGAAACAAGGAATTGAAGCAAAGAGTCATGTGGACTATAAAAAAAAATGGTTTATTTCAAAATAAATTTTCGACCAGTCCTCTGGTCTTCTTCAGCTTACAAAACTAAATGACAAAATGTGGCTGATAAAAGAGATCTGTTATACAGATAAACAATATTATTGTGATAGGCTTAGAGTAAGGCTATGTAACAGTTTTTATTATTCATTTGAAGGATGAGTTGGAAAAACTGGAAGAGGATTTAACATTTGATGAAATTCGCTTGCTGAGAGAAACTGTGTTTGGCCAATTAGAAAACAGGATAAATGCTGGAGAGGTCTGCTATACTGTTTATCTTGCGATAAAATATTTTAATTAATTATTTGCAATTTTTAACCTTAAAATGTAGATTCTAATATTATTAGGACTGCTAATTTAATTTTTTTTTAAATTTTTACTACTGAAAAATCAATTTAAATCTGTATTTATTTTACACAAACCCAAATAATTTTGTATTTTTGTTCTTAGGAATTGTTTAAGAAACCAACATCGGCATCTGAACAGCAAGGCTATGGAAGCTGGCTTTGGGGATGGGGAGGATGGTCAGCAGGTGAAACAGCCCCTACACACCAGGAAGGCATGGATTCATCAGTTGATGGACCATTATATACAGATGATCCAGCAGATATTTTGTCTTCTTCTGCTGCCCCTTCTTTTGGTAAGCGTCTTTAAACACAACCTCTTGCTTTGTAGCAGTGTTGGTTGAGTTCATATTTAACACACTTTGTGATATTTAAAAATGCACAGTGGCATATTTGTTTTCCTTCCTGTTATTGTTGCTATTATTTTCAGTACTATGAATATCATCATAGTTGTCAAAATCATTGTTATTATTGCCATCATTTTTATCACTTTCATCATCATTATTCATTCATGTGTTGAATAAATGAAATGTAAATCATCATCATTATGTAATTATTAATATTTTTATATTATTTTTTTAAAAATGTGTTTTTTTCATGTGTAATTTAGATGAGCAAGAGCTGATAGATTTTATTGGTGACCCAATGGCAGACAGCACTTTACTCAGACGAGATCAAGTCTTTGTTGTTTTGAACTTTAACCTAAAGGGAGGGTCATTCATCCTTAGCAACGATGCCAATGAATCTAAAGACTCTCCTGCAACTATTGCTGAACTCGAGTTCACTGGTGTTACTATGAAAATTGAATCACGATTGCGAACAAACTCAACATTATTTGCTGCTAAATTGGGGGCGCTTTATTTGAGAGATAGAATAACAAAAGGATCATTATTTCCAGTGATTGTTTCACCTCAGCTTAAAAAGGTAAGAACAGATGTCAATGATATTTTTTGTCAGACATCGACCAGTAAATAGACATCTGTGGTTGTTTATTGGCTACTATTAGTTCATTATGCTTTCACTGCAGATAAGAACACTTTAAAATCATATAATTGTTAATGTTTATAAAGAATGTAAATATATATATCTTAGGAAATCTGCAATATTTAGATTTTTCCAATCAATCAATCAGTATTTGTAAGACATTTCTAGAAATACATTTTTCAAATTTTGATTTAGGAAAATGAAATTAAGTGGATTTTTTTTTAATTTAGAAAGATGTTAATTGATATTTTTAATTGTATGTACTTTATGTGTTTTTGAATGTCTGAATAAATCCATGAATGAACAAAATTAAAAGAAAAATTAATAATTAATTTTAATGTATTTATTTACACATTATTTGTAGGATGAAATTCCGTCTCAAACAAGGACCCAGTTTGGACTGTTTTCTCGGTTAGCAGGTGCATCTCCTTACCAAAGTCAAGCTGTCAATCTGAAAAGACAGAAATCAGAAGACGTTCTTTTTGAGATGACGTATGAATCTAACCCACCAGAATCCAATGTTGATTGCAGGTGCATAGAACTCTGCTTTTGTCAATTGTAATAATTAAAGGGAATATTACCTTAACACTTTAGTTGCCTCATTTATTCTGTCTTCCATTTGGTCAAAACTGCACTTATCACCTTATTCTTGTATTACTCCCTAGCTATATATACAAGCTTAGTGTTTAGCAGTAAGTACTTTCACTTGATAATGATGGTTGAACCATTAAAACATGTCATGGTATAAACTCTTTATTATGTAATAATAAGAATTATCATTTAAGGGTATGTAGATAATATAGCAATGGGATTATGTATGTGTCTCATTTGGCTAGGAAAGTATTATCTTGTTCTATAAAGGCTGTGCACCAAAGATCTTATAAACACAAGATAGTGTTCTCCGCAATTTACGCTTGCAAATTCTGTAATAAGGCATGAATGGCGCCCTCTTGCTAAATTGGAAACTTTTGACCCTTGACCACTCTGACCATACCGTCACCGCGCGACTTTACCTTGGGTATCAATCCTGTGAACAGCAGAACAGGAACCATCTCAGATCCATGGCAACAGATAGGACGCCCTCTTCCAAAACTGATTACTTTTTCTCTTTGGTATAATAACGCATGAATGGCGCCCTCTTGCTAAATTGGAAACTTTTGAACCTTGACCGACGCTTCTATTTGTTACGCGTAAATCACTGAGAACGCTACCTTGTGTTTATAAGATCTTTGCTGTGCACTCACTGCATCGTGTGGCAAAGAATACAAATTCACTGTCTGTGTACGTTGGACGACGCGATGCCGTCTGCTGATTGTCGGTGACCTTCTGAATGTATTGTCATAAAAAATGATCTGTTGCGTGCATCCTGGCATAGACTTGCCACAAGTCCCTTGTTATTTTTTTTTCTAATAATAAGCAACTTGTATAACACTGCATTCAGGTACCCGGATGCTATAAGAATGAAGTGAGTAACCCAAAATTAGGGCGTGGAACCCAGGCTAATCTAGCATAGCGTTCACCATAGAATCTTGTCAACTGACAAAACCAATAACTTCAATAAACATTTTATTATTATTATTATTATTATTATTATTATTATTTATTATTACAGTATTACTTATTATTGTTATTTTATATTATTTTCATGTTTATTAGCTCATCATATTATACATCTTCAATATATAAAATAATTTATAAAATTATTTTTTTAGGCTAGAAATGATCACACACCCATTGGAGATAGTATACAACTCGAAAGCTTTGCAGGGAATCACAGATTTCTTCAACACACATACAAAGACGGGCTTATCATCAAGGCCATCAGAACTGAAACTGACAAGAGCAATGAAAGCTCGTTACCAGGACTTTAAGAACCAAACAAGGCAAGATATCATTAACACAATGGACAGAATCATGGAAGGAGAAAATAAGGTAAACCCACTTGATATAGACTTCACTTAAAATCAATTATACAGATGTTTACCCTACCACATCACCACAATAAGAAAATTCAGGTGAAATAGCTTCCATAGTTAAACACAGGTGGGCAATGGTCAATGGTAAGTCCACACAAGCCAGATGTGTACACTGAACTGGTTTTAAGTTTTTGTGCTTTTAACAACCATACCCTGGACGAGGAGCATCTTGAACCATCGTCTATGTTAAGGCTGTAGTTAGCGATGCCCCAGCCTTACCGCTCGGCAACTTGGTTCATCCTGAGTTTGGATAAGAAGCCTCCTCAGTGTACCTGAGTATATGGATGGAGTGACAGTGTCTGTCAGTATAATTTAGCAACAGATTACATTTGTGTTTATTTGGCCTACAGGGTGAGATCACCAGGTGGGATGTACACCTTGATATATCAGCTCCTCAAATTATAATTCCTGACAGCTTCCATTCAAAGGATGCTACCTTGGTAAGTATAGAACTAACAGTAAATCTTAATAGTTTGTCTCTTTTGTAGATTTTAGGAGTGGAGCTGTGGCACAATGGTTGGGCACCCACCTTCACATCCCAATGTACTGGGCTTAATCCTCGCTGAACATGTTTTTTCTAACAACTCTACTCTACAAAGAGACTTGGTTTTAACAATATGTGTTCAGATTTGTATAATGTATTAGCACTTTGAATATGGTAATGTAAATAAGCACTAAAGATTTTAGTATTTTTCCTTTATTGGCATTGCATTATCATAGCTTTTGAGCAACCTGATCTCTTCTTTACATGTAAATAAACTATTATATTGTGTAAAACTATAAGGATAGTGAATCATCACCTGTTTACCCTATGAATGCTTAAATATTTAGGTGGTGCTGGATTTTGGACATTTAGATTTATCCAGCGCCACTGCCAAACGTGATGCCAAAAGGCAAGAAAAACTTGAGCGTGAAGAGGATGATACTGAAGATGATGATGGTAAGTATTTAGATGAAAACAAGTGATGCTAATCAACTGCAATGAAGTAAAAAAAAAAAACTTTACCTCTCACATTACATATCCTCTTCATTGCCTAGTGCCCTGTTACATATACTCTTGCCAGTTTACCGTGGCATTTGCAACACATTTTCAAGTCTTCTATCCAAGCCAAGCTTTATAATCGTCTTTTTCCACCAAGTTCTTTAGGGCAACTCAACTCTCTTTTCCCTCAAGTCAAGCATCTATCATTATGCATTGAATAATAATACAGAATTTTTTCCCCATTTGTAGTATGGGGCCTATTCACTTCTGTGGCTTCCTGTGCTTATTTGTTTTAATTTTTAAAATGAACATCTGATTATATTTTGACAATCAAATGACACTGGAATGAATTCATTTTTTTTTAATAGGTGATCTTGATGAAGATTTTCAGACCCCACCGAATGAAATGATAGATCCTCCAGTATTGGTAGACACAGGTGTGATAGGTGATACTATGACCAGCTCTACAGACAGCAGTCTTCTCACAGAAACCTCCGTCAGAGATCGCATGTATGATAGGCAAGTACCTATGATACTAGTTGTATCAAGAATCCAGAGAGCAGCTTAGCTCAGTCGACTAAACTAGTGGTAGCCACTACTGTGTGTGTGTGCTGAACCCGTGGATATCTCTTGCTGTCCGGTTCAATTCTCATCGCTGCTCTCCTTGTATTTCAACTGGAGGGCTGAAATGCAAGTTATGATAGCGCACCATCTGTTGGAACCGTGTGCATTATGGCCCATGTGCATGTTAAAGAACGCTTCTGAAAAGAGTAGGGGTTGTCTCCCAGTGTAATGCCCAATCACCACCAGTATATCCCACTAGAAACAAGTCGTCTTCAGACTTTTGTGGGTTATTTTTGGTGTTTTACACAAAATAAATCCATACATCGTCTACTTGAGTAGATTGTGTTGAGACTTCTGAAAAGAGTAGGGATTGTCTCCCAGTGTAATGCCCAATCACCACCAGTATATCCCACTAGAAACAAGTCGTCTTCAGACTTTTTGTGGGTTATTTTTGGTGTTTTACACAAAATAAATCCATACATCGTCTACTTGAGTAGATTGTGTTGAGACTAAAAATGACACTACTGTAATTTAATTCTGAGTTTTGTCTTTCTTCATATAGGTATAATCTAGATTTGTCGGATTTGCAAATCATTATTGGCCGATCAAGTGACAACTGGCGGACTGTGTATGCCAAACGATCCAATCACATGCAAGTTGTGGAGAAGTTCAGCATCTCAATGCTTGTTGAAAGGCGATTGGTCAACACGGCTGATCCTCAGTGGCCAAGCATGACCTTTTCTGGCAATTTACCATGTTTATCTATGCATGTTAATGAAAAAAAGGTATTAGTAGTAATAATAATAATAATAAATAATAATAATTATAATAATAATACAGCAAACAAAAAATTTTAAAAGCAAAAGGAAAACAAAAGAAAGTACAGTACTGGTAACTGTAAAATTAAATTATATATTCAAATTTCATCAGATCCAAGCATTAGCAAATTGCTTCAAGTTGTTAGCAGGTCCAGAGCCCCAAGGTGTTGGAGGGAATCCAGATAGAAGTCAGCCTGAAGCACAACCGGTCCAGCCAGCCATGTCACGGGAGCTTAGTAAAAGGTAGGCTTACATACATATCTTGTCTAGTAAAACGGATTAATGTTACTGTTATGAATGAACATTATTACATCGTCATCATTATTCTTCCTTATTATCATCATAATTCTCATCTTCAGTGCTGTCATCAATGCCAGCATTAAATCAAATATCATTATCCTCATCACCATCGTCATTCATATCACCATTATCATCATCCATATCACCATTATCATCCTTTTCATGATGATCATCATTCTTATCATCATAATCATCATCATGACCATCACCATTCTCATCATTATCATTGTCATCATCATTATTACCAATTATGACATCATAATTTGATAATCAAATAGATGTTTATTAATTACTAAACATTTTATAATATACGTGTTCCTTGAATACTGTAATCCTTGAACTTGAAATACTAGATAAGAACTTACTAAGCAATTTTAAGTCATGGATAGATAAATCTTCATCAAAATATTTACATTCATGGTTCAACAATATAGTGTTTGACCTCTTCCTTTAATCAATTTGTCGTTTGATTTTCGTAGCATATCTGACCTTGAAGCAACATTTGCGCAGCGAGCACAGTCATTGATGTTGGAATCCCGTCTCTTGCTGGTTCATTTTTCTGTTGATAAAATGTCTTTGGATATACAGAGCAGTGGTGAGACTTCCTTTATTTTCCCGGCAATGGGGATATGGGGCGGGTAGGCCGTCTGTTACCAAAGTTAGCACTCAGTTCATGGGTAGGCTTAAGTAAGTTACTTGATCCACTAGCCTTTGTCATGTTGAAAACCTTGTCATTGACAATGAGAATGTTTGACATATACACAGCCATTTTTATAAATGAATGAATACAAGTCACCCAAATCCCAATTACCAAAATTCCTAATTTATACCTCGGGAACTATTAAAAAAATCCTATCAGCTAACATTTATTGGGAAAAATATCTAAATTTTTAGAGAATCTGGTATGATGAAAAATATATTAAAAAATATATTTTTTATTCTAGGTCGTTGCATCGTAGAATGTCAGGTATCGGGTGTACGGACTAATCTTACTAAGCGTCCCTATGATACGTCATTATCGTTAACTATTCATGGATTACTCCTGATTGATGCCCTTCAGCAATTTGGACCAGACTTTGAACTTTTAGTGGCGTCTCATAAAGAACTTAGGTAAGGGAAGTCAGACTAGAACCAAATATTCTAGACTGTTTTGTGAAAATCATAAAGTGGTTCATTTATGAATACAGTAGTTTGTTTAAACTTGAGTGGTCTTTTCGTAAATACTCGGCTATTATAAATGTTCTTTAAATACACACCACTTCAAAAAACAGAATGTTATTGCTACAGTGATGATAAAGGAATGAGGATGCATATATGTGAAGTATTGTGCACAAGCTGTGCACAATACTTTTAATTTTAATTTTACATTTTAATTTTCTTCAAAAGGAGGTGTTCATATAAAGGAACATTAACTATTGTCTGTTTATTCAAATATCTCGATCAATACACTACCAATAACACAGCTGATATGTGTAATTTCTTTATTTAGTATGGATGTGCCAAGTGGCAGCATAATGGACAGCGATCCGTCTTCACCATACTCAGCTGCTTCTCCAGCCTCTGCTCATTCTCCAACTTCATCACGTTCATTGACATCTCCAGCGGAATCGATGATAGCCAGTGCCAACCATTCTCAGTCACTACTCGCCACTGCAGCCTCTCTCATCTCCAATGAGTTATTAGGTATGCGACATACAATCATAATAAGTCATCTTTTAAATCAAGTCATATTTTGTATGCATTTGAAGCCATTATTTGTAAATATTAAGTGGTATAAAACATTCAGAAATTTGTTTTGCCAGGCCTAGTGGCAGGGGTTTAGCCAGAAAAAACGAAATAAGCCGTCCAAAATATGCTGTAGTTTAGTGCAACATTTGGTAGATTTGAATTGACGATTGAATGATTTGAAGAATTTGCTAAAGGTAGACCAGGCACAACTAGGCCAGGCCAACCTGAGTAGGCCAAGCCGTCCTAGCTGTCACGGTAAATGTGGCCGTCCTAAAAAATTGTTTGCCATCTAAAAGACTCGCTGGCTAAGCCCTTGCGTGGCAGTAGACTTACAAAATAAAAATTAAATCTTGACATAATTACTTTAGAAAGGTTTAGTAGAGATGTATTAAAAAGAAGCTTGGTTAAAGTTAAATTTTTTGATAGGCACACTATTTTGATGTCTTGCAATAGTCACATTGGTTATTGGATATCTCTTAAGCTCTTGCAATGTCTGTCCATTAGGTACGCTTCCTTCCACACCGGGAGTAAAGAGCGTGTCCTCCGATCGTACAACATCCTCAAAGAAGTTCCTGCCCCCTATGGGTGAGGACTCAGAAGCACTGATAACCATTGAGTTAGACTTAATTAGTGCAGACTGCCCAACAAGTCCAACCACAGAATGTGCTAGACAGATTGCCAATGTACAGTTCAACACTCTGGATGTTATTGGTAAGTTTCAAATTTTTTTTATGGTTTATTTCTCATACATACTGACTTGGAAAATAGAATTGAAGTGTACACAAGATTGCATGAGCATGTTGAATTTATTGTTTTCTATATTTTTATTATCAGCTAACCAAGACACGATGATTGAGCTTTTAGCATTTTTTAAGCGTGCCTTCCCGGATCAACCGCCAAGTTCCGATGACAAATCCAAAGCAGACCTTAACCAAAGCAGTACTTTACAGGTAAAGTACCACAGGCTTAGCTCTGTCCAGATTATCAAATTTTCTTTGACAAAAAACTGTTGTATGCCCATATATATTCATGATGTGCCTATATATGGTCATGATGTGATGTCAACATGATCATATTTAGACATGTCACATGTTTTTGTCAAATAAAATTTGATAGTCTGGACTGGGCCTTAGACAAGTTGTCGGCAGTGTTGGCTGAACAATTAGAGGCTGTTCAATTACAACTGCAAGTTTGTTGATAACTTCGCTATTTTGATGATAGATATTACTAATTCTATGAGTCTAATCACAACTAAAATCTACTTATGTAGACAAAATAAAAACTAATGATGTGGGACCTTATCACTTCAAAAAATTTCACAAACGATTTTCTTAAAAAGATTACTATCATCATTGGCATCTGTTTTATTCTGGGATTGTTTGTGTTTCTTTAGATGGTGACAGAATCATCAACCAGGACTGATGTTTCTGCTGATTTCAGTTGTTTAAATGTTGTGCTAGTTCGAAGATATAATGACGGAAAACAAGACGGAAAGAAAGTGGCAACAGCAACAATAAGTAATTTTCATGTCCAGTCAGTTTTTGGTGAGTACATTATATCAACTTACAAAAGTTAATATTGCCAAGCCTGGAGAATATACATGTTACAAACAAATATACATGTTACCTTTTAAATGTTATATTTGTCTTTGTTACAGGAGAAGAAATGACTGTAGAAGGATCTCTAGGGGGAATGCAGTTAGTTGATTTAACGGCAACTGGAAAGCATAGAAAGGTTTTCAGTGTTGGACAAGATCCTATTGGGGAAGATGTTCCAAGTAGTGTTTTTACTTCCTCTACTCTAACAGATAGTCTACAAAGAAGCAGTGTAGACATGTACCGCTCTGCTTTAGATGCTTCAGTGTTTGCTGCTAGTTTTGAAGATAAGGAATCTCAGGCTTTTACTTTCTCTGTGAAGAAGTTGAAGAACTCGCTTGCAACCCCTACTCATGTATCGGCTTTCCGAAGTGTAGGTGGAATGCGAACATCAAGTGCCATTGGGCACCCTCCACGGACTATTTATGAAGGTGTCCAGGATGTACCGGAACCAGAAGATGAACTGGAGGTATCTATTCACTTAGCATCACTTTGCTACACCCATGCTCCTAAGTTTCTAAATGAGCTAAGTATGTGTGTAGATGAATTTCAGAGCTCTGCCATGAAAGCAGCTAACTCGCTCCAGAAGGCTGCTACTGAAGCAGCAATGGACTTCATGCGACAGAAATCTGAATATGCCACCATGCCTTTCACTCCAAATGTAACAGAGATTAACGAATCTCCAATCAAATCTGGCAATAAAAGTTACAATACAACAATAAATGAAGAGGACATGAAAACAGAAACACGATTAAAATTAAGCATAATAATGGAAACACCAATAATGGTATTTCCACGCTCACCTGAAAGTAGTGAGGTTCTTGTAGGACACCTTGGCAACATAACTATTAAAAATTATGTGGATTTAATACAGTTCAGTGTTGGCTCTACCAAAGCTGATGAAACTGATGGAATTTACGTTTCAATTAAAGACATTAATTTATTTTCATTCAATGATGAAGATGCCAAATCACGTAGTAATAGTGTTTCAGAACCAAAGGTGAAAAGCAATAGTTCCAACGATGCACAGCAGCGAGCCAGCACAGTAGCCAGTCATGATATGAGTGACTCTAACCTAGAATATAAAGGCACACCAGTCCTTCATGATACCTCTGTTGAATTATCGATTGTCAAGCAGCAGCCAACAATATCAACGATTCTAGACCACACTGACGACTGCAGAGTAGACGGTGAATTCATTGAAGAGGCTTTGTTGGTGATGGTCAGTAGTAAGATTGTTAAGCCACTAAAGGTCATCCTCTCAAAGCATGTTTATGAACAATTATTTGAAACCTTGGATAATATCACCTACCAAGATGTGACCAATCAGAGCTCAGGAAAAACTCAAAAGGAAATGAATGATTCTGTGTTTGGTCTAGATGGCCAGTCACTGCCTTCTGATCATTGGTCATCTACAGACCAGACGGAGCCTAGTGATCTTGGCAGTTTTACAAGAATTCATGCCAACTTTGATATCCCTGAGCTCACTCTAGAGCTGCAAGGAGATCTCACTGATGGTGCTCAAGGACTTGTGAGTTTGTCCTTCCAGAACTTTTCTGTCAGGTTTAAGAAGGATGAACGACACATAGCAGAGTGTGATGTGTCTCTGCAGTATCTTGAAATGGTTGATCTGCTAGTGGAAGCACATTCAAAACATAGATATTTAATGGTGTCTAGAAGGAACATTGACAACCAGACCGCTGTACCAGTAAGGATGGTACATTCAACCTCTTGCCCAACCATCTCGCATCTTCTAGCACCTGTTGCCATGATGCCAGGCTCTCTACCCTCCAACCTCAATGTTCCTGCTAGTCCAGTGATGCTAAATCAATCAAGTAAATTACGGGCCCCAGTCCGGAATCAAGACAGAAAAGAGGGTGTGTACCCATCAACACCACCGCCATCACCAGATGCAATGCAATCTACCGAGTCACTGAATAATTCACAGCAATCCCAAGATGCACTTGTGCAAATAAATATTCGACTCATTGATAAGAATTGTCCAGAATTTGCAAGTAAACATCAAAGTGTGAGTAAAAATATATAGTGTTTTTTTGTCATAAGAAATTGAGTTTTGTTATTTTTGTGCATTTTTTTTTTTTTTTTTTTAAAGATTAATATCTCCCTTTGTTGGCTACCATCTCAAGTGTATTGAAAAAAATAAAATTTGAACTTTGAAATCAAAGTGAATTATAAATTGTTTTGGTACATAGATCAACCGCCTGATAGACGTAGACTTCAATGCACTAGATACCACCATCAATTTGCAGACACTTGTTGTATTGCTTGACTTCCTCGGCATGGGGGCTAAGCCAGCCCCGATATCTTCTGTTAATACATCAACTGCCAGTGAACCCTTACAGCTAATTTCATCAGAGGGAGTGAGTGCTGAAGATGAATCAGGTACTGTATTCCTTAATTTGTTTCTATTGTTATTTGTACTTTATTTTGTATTATTTTTTTTTGTAATGCATTTTGTATTTTCTTGCCAAATAGAATATAGTAAATAAATAAATTACCAAATTCTCTAAGTGTTCCACCTTAACAGTCAGTGCCTGTGGCCCATCAACGTTTAGTCCTCTGAGGCTAAGTGGAGGGTGTCTTGAAAACAGAGACCCGAGACCCATTCGAAAACAGAGACCAACCTAGGGTCTCTGTTTTTGAATGCTGGGTCTTTGTTTGAGATCCAGGCATACGAAACAGAGACCTTGAAAACAGAGACCCACTAAAAAAAAATCCGAATATATTGTTTAATTAGTAATTAAGTGAGCCTAATCATAGAGGGTAGTCCATTGATCAGAAAATTGAGTATACAGAGAGCCATATAACTTGATTTGATGCGATTCTCCTATGTACGCGTGTGTGATTTGATAGATCACATCAATTCAAGGAAATTGATCATGGGCGGAAATAGATGGGGCAAACAGACTTTAGACCCCCTCCCCATACATTTTTTGAACATGTTTTAATTTTGCTTGTTTTGATATTTTATATCTTTGAACAGTGAACAATGAAGAGGCCAACACAGAAATCAATGTTCAAATCCAGTCCCTGTCTCTACTACTGAACAAGCCAGCTTATGAACTAGCAAAAGCCAATGTGTCCGGTATCACAACCCATGTGTCCCTTGTACATGGTAATGTGGACATAGAGGGCAGTCTTGGTAGCATGATGCTTCTTGATCTAACTCCCAGTGGTCACATGTACCCTGAGAAGTTTGTTACTAGAGGGGATGAAGCATTAGGATTCAAGATATTCAAGTAGGTCTAACTGATTTGTTAAATGTGTTTTTATGTAATATTTTAGATGTTTTTACTAAAAAAAATACATATTTATGTAAAAAAGTATTACAGTACTTGTAAAAATATTTTTCTTGTTGAAATTGAAAAAATAATGCTTCGTTTCTTTTTCCAAAGATATGGCCAGCCAGATCCTGATCTACTGCGAGAATTCGATATCAGTATTAATCTGCAGATGTCATCTGTATGCTACATTCACACGCATCGCTTCCAGATGGAGCTGCTAGCATTTGCACAGCATTTCAATACTCTGCAGGACATGCTGGGACGCATGAGAGCAGCATCCAATGGTCAACAAGTACGTGATAATTAGTAATATGTTGTTTATTATTGTATTTATAATTTAATTTTGAGCGCACCCTAAAATATTACATCAAACAAAAACTGGTTTGGTATCAAGAAGTGTTATTGATAGCATTTACGGCATACTAATAAATTTTTTTTTCTTCATTTCCATTTTTTTTTTAACTTTATATCTATTATGGTCTAATATCCCATAAAAATTGCAAACAACCTTTCACAGAACAACAAGAAGTGCATAGACTATTCATTCTTTTAGGGTCATTTAATATTCTAAAGACACTGATACCAAACTGATACCCAAAGATAATTAGGAATAGTATAGTATAAATCTCTAGAACTAGTTTAATACAGTTTTAAGGGAAGAAAATTGATTATGGTTAAGTGTAAACAAAAGAGATGCAGGATGATATAATGACTAATATATTAAGCATTTCTTAATCTTTTTTCATACTGCAGGTTAAAGAAGATCCTGCTCGGAACGGTAGGCTACTGATGGACATTTCTGCTGGATCGCCAGTCATCCTCATCCCGCTAAGTTCCAAATCTAAGGAAACCTTGGTGGCCAATCTAGGACGCATTACCCTCAAGAATCAGTTTTTATTTGCTGGCTCAGCTGGAACGATTTCAACAAGCACAGCAGGTGAAGTTATTTTCTTTAATTCAAAATCGAGTACAATCACAATACACTGTCGTGTATTTCATTACACGTCTAAAAGGTCATGTTCAATATATCTATTAAAAGCAAGCAACAGTATACAGTATAGAGTTGTCCCCCTTGACCATTATTGTATAATACATGGTAAGGTAATGTGATGAGAACATGCTATTGGCCAAACATAGTGACCATATTCCATGCAGATTGTGAAAATATGTTTACTACAGCCAGTCAAATTATACTAATGTACATTCATAACTAAATGTATATTTTTAAATAATTCTTTTCTATTTTGTGAATAATTAAATGAAATAAGCAACTATTCCTATTGTGCTTTTAACCATTACTCGTTTGTGCAATTTATAGCATTCCTTGTAGAAGGTAAATATTTGAATACAACACATAAATGAATGAATCAGAATTATGTCTTGTGAGAGGATGGAAAGTTCCAGAGTTCCACGATCTAAGATCCAATGTTATGCAGACTCTGCATGGCTCTTGGAAACGTGTACAGTATGCAGCATACACAGTTTTTAACATAGTAGAATTCTAAAATTTTGTCAAATGTTTTGCAATTCCTCTGCCAATAGGTACGCTTAATTCTAAGCAGTCTCTGTCACGGCAGTCCTCAAGGCTGTCCCGTCATGGTTCAGTGGATGATCCGTTGAATCATGTTTGTCTTCTGGATTGCATGAATCTGAGTCTTGAAGATATGGATCTGTTTCTTGGAAACTGCATCGATCATGCAGACTTTGATGCCCGGGATGAGACTGCCCTTATCTTCCCATCACTTGTTGTCTCTAGGAAGGTGAGTAAATAATGTGTCATGTAGGTGCTATATCTACCATATGACTATAGTAAAATGTGTGAACTAAAAGTAAATAAAGGTGGAAAAGAGATTAATTGACATTATTTATAAGTTGTGTTGATCGTCTTGTAGGGTCCACCTCTTTTGAAGCAAACTTGTCTATTGAGACTTCAAGTAGAGAGAAATTTAGATGTTGATATTAGTAGAACAGGTAAGTGAAGTTAAAGGAACTAATTTATGTCTTGGTTTTATGGTACATATTACTTTCATTTATATAACCCCCCTCTTTCATGCTGATAGTTAAATGAAAGTAATTTAATAATAATTATTGATGTCTATTTCGTGAATACTGACCTGGATAAACTGATAAATGCTATTGAAAATAAATAATGATAATTATAGTAAATTATTTTAGAATGATAAAACAATGAAAATTAATTTCTGCAAATTTTTTAGTTCCAGATATCAGCATTAGTGGGGTGTTATCTTCTGTGCATTGCTCAATAGATACTTCACAATACCATCTCATTAGAGGGATGCTGGACCACAATTTAGGAGAACCTCTAGAAGAATTCCAACCAATACAGCGCCCTCAAGCACCTATCAATCAGGTAATGAACGTAGAGTGGTATGTTATACAGTGTAAACTAGACGGTCTTGGTACCCTTCATTGATCGCCTTTCCAGTGATTGTCATTGCAGTAGTATGCTTGTTACAAACTGACTGCAAAATTAGTTTAAAAGAATTTAGGTAATAGAATTTTCTTGTTTAGGGTTATTCATATGACCAGAAATTTTGGAAAAAAATAACTTGAGTTGAATCATGTTTTTCAATTTTCAGACAGTTTTAAGTGGGCAAGTCTGGACAAGCTTATCTATGCATATTGACCTAATGAATGTGACCCTTGAACTACTGCAGTCACATAGTATTGATGGAGAGGGTGAAAGGTCACTAGTGGAGATTAACTTTATCAAGTCACGTTTCTCTTTTGAGAGTTTTTCTAACGATTCCAAAACTGTTGATTTAGTATCACATGCGCTACGTGCTCATGACACCAGACAAAGAGGTAAAAAATAAAAATTTTTATTAAATAATAGATAATAATTATATGAGTTTATTATCATCATCATTATCATCATCATCCTTTAGCCAAGATACTGGAGATGGTTTCAAACCATTGTTCTGTCTTTGCAAGTAAGTGCTCCAGCTCCACCATGTCAGGCTGGTATCTCTGTCTAACCTAAAAAAGTTTTAAAAAAAATACAAATAATATTTGTTAGGATCTGTGATGGTTGAACTTTCTAGTTTTCACATTATTTGTTCCAATAAATCTCTTCTGTAAAATAATTATGTATAAATCATATTTTTTTCAATCATTGAACACATGAAAACAAATATCATCAGTATATTTTGGTTTCATAGGAAAATCAGAGTCTGAGAGTGGTAATGTGTTCCATGAGATCCTGACTCCTTCGAAGCACAACCAACAAACAAGCCAGAACCCCTTACAGATGGAGCTTCACTACGCATCGCGACCAGATCACACACGTGCCACGTTACTACTCAACAACATGCGAGTAATGTGTATTCTTGATATTTGGTTAGCTGCCAAGGATTTCTTACTCAGCTACAATTCACAAACAGTGCTTCCTCGTAGGTCATTAATTTGTTGTAATTCTATGATAATGATCAGTGATAATTAATATTTAATTTTATGGCACATTATGTTTATTACATACTGTGTACCAATCATTGATAAACAATAATTTAATACTTGGTACTTTATTAGGAAAAAGTAAAACTAAAATGAAAGAAATTTCTGTCATCCTTTTTGTACAATGTGTGCAGCTGAGTATAGATCCTACTATCAAGCGGCCGTAGTAAACAACACAAATGCAGGAGATCATGTCTTTAAAGTAAAGACAGAAACAAAATCTCGTGAATCGAAACGGTCAACAACACCAATCAGTGTAGCATCAGGTATTGCCACAAAAAGAGTACCACCTATGCAACAGGTAGGCATCAACTAAGCTTTATCAGATTATCACATGTGCTACATTGTTATCCTTATTGTTATCTCTGCTTATGCAGGTATTAATCGATTGCTGGTATTGATATTTATTTTTATTATGATTATATTATTATTATTTATTTTTAATATCATTATATTATTATTATTGATATTTATTTTTATTATGATTATATGATTATAGTGATGATTATTATGGCTTACTGATATTGATGATAACTACAATGAGAATGAAAACTATTGTTATAATTATTATTATGATAATGATTGATTATGATCATTTTTTAAACAGAATGAGAAGACTTTTGAGCTGCGTTTGAACTTCACTGAGACGGAGTTTGTGGTTGTAGAGGATCCATCGTATAGCGATACTGATGCTGTTATACTCAAGGTAAATCAACATTTAAAAATGATGTCATAAATAATATCATGGGAACTCATTTCCAAAAATTTATACAAGCACCAGAGAAAATATTTCAGTATATTGATCAATTTTCTCATGCAACAACAAAACAAGGATTATTACTTTACTTCTTGCAGGTCGCATGTGCAGTGACCTCTTTGAAGCCAGAGAGTGTATCACATCCGTTCTCTTGCACATTACAAGAACTTGAGGTTTTCTCATGTCGTATGGGGTCTGAAACAAATACTGCACTCTCGATCATTGATCCAATTACGGTTAGTGTGGAGCTAAAGGCAAACCACACTCATTTGCATGGACGCAGTGGAGGCTTGTTAGATGCAACTCTGGACTTGGACGTGCCCACAAGTCTGGAGGTAAGTTTATGTTGACCGCCTGCTATGCTGTAGTAAATTTGGAACTATAGAATCTTGTACTGTATTGTCTATTTGCTTCCGATTCCACATACTCATATGGTTGCACAAAATATGCAATTTTATAATCATGTATTAATCCTGCTTGTAGAATAATTATCAAATTAACAAATCTTTTTCTCTTAATTTAGCCAAGTTGATTTTCTGAAAGGTTATTGCTGACTTTTATAAATAATATAAAATCAATCTTTTCAAATGAAATTACTTGCTTAATACCTGACAACACATATAATAATGACATTATTATTATTATTATTATTATTATTATAATAATAATAATAATAATAATAATAATAATAAGAATAATAATAATAATAATAATAATAATAATGACATTATTGTTGACTCTTTCGACGATAAGTCAATGTTCCCTATGCCCTTAAAGGATTAATTAGAGAAAAGTTATTTGTTACTTTAGCATGGGGGTAGTTTATTTTTTAACGGATTTTTTATCTTTATCCTAGGTCCATTTCCAAGGTCCCCTTACTATTCGCGTATCTTATCATGATGTAAATCTCTTTCAAAGTCTGGTGAAGTCCCTGCAGACACAAATGGTACAGTCAAAAGAGGCAGTCAATGAAGATGCAATTGATATAGAAGATCAGAAAAAGAAAGAAATACTAGGTAATCTTAGGTGGTGATGATGATGTAATAACAATTATGACAGAGTGGTAGTAAGGTGACAAGGATGATGGCAATGTGATTATAATGATGACAAGATGGTGATAATGACGATTTAATTAACAGCAATTACATGATTGTGATAATGTGTTTAAAAAATTTTTCGTCTCTATTCCTATATATTTTCACTTTGTTGTTATAGTACCAAAATTATTGGAGCTCGGCTTCTCGTACAACGACTGTGAGAGGGCGCTAGATAAAAGCAAATTCTCTCTGGAAGGTGCTGCAAATTGGCTTCTTGAGAATGCCACACCTATCAAGACTGTAGAAAAGGAAAGCAATAATTCAGAGAAAAAAGCATTAGAAGTGGCCGGTGTTGAGGTATATCTTTTTAAAATTAAAAATATAATAATCAAAATAGGATACATTTCACTCTCCAATTCAAGAGCACCTTTGTGGTTTGAAATGCAGGGTGGTCACAGGGCTGGGCCTCCAATATGTTAGCCTTGTGTTAGAAGATTGGTGATTGTTAGTTGCAAATTTGAAAAAGTAGTCTTAAATTAGAAACATCTTAAGTCAGGTTTTTGTGATTCAAAGAATAAAAAGCATTTAATCAGCTTTATCCTTCTTTCTAGGTCCGGGCCACATCTATCTCTGTTTGTTTGATTGATGACTGTAGGGACATTGATGTTCCATTGATGGAGCTGTCATTGCAGAATCTACACTTCTTCCAAAAGCTTCTGTCCAGCGTAGAAGGCCAGGCAAGTTGTACCCTGGTTGGAGAGTATTATAATCGTAGTCTCTCAGGATGGGAACCCTTCTTAGAACCATGGAAGTAAGCCTTCATATTTTGCTCTTATTATTTCTCTAATCCTATCCAATTTTCAATGTTTTTTTATATCATCTATAAGACCAACTGTAATCCTGATTTATAACAAAATAGTCTGAGATTACAAACCCTCGCCCTGTTGCGCCATACCGTATCTAATACTGAGAAAATAATGGCCTGCAGTCAATCTGCTCGATTCAGCTTGGCCTAGCCAAATGAGTCCTAGCATTATAGGCATCACATTGCAAGCCCATCAATTGGGCGAGTTTGCACGCTGGCCCGACCTTTTCCAGTCCACCAGCCAGAATTTGACACACCTCCTAATAGCCCGCAATCGATCCACTTGAGTTGGTTCTCTTTGTTGCAGCCTTTGGAGAGGCTTGGATAATAAGACTTATTGGATATTTAACATTATGTCAAATTAATAATATGTCTTTTGATTTCAGATGCAAAGGGGAATGGATTTACCAACAAAAAAGACCTTCATATCCAGCCAAACTCTTTATACAGGTCAAAGGTAAGAAGTCATGTGAAGTAATGAATATTGAATGTACGAAGGTTGCACTTTATGTGAGAGTCCAGAGAGAGTTGGACAGAAATCCAACAAGAGTCATTAAGATATATTTTCATTATATTTATCTTGTGCATTTTAGTTGATGAACGTCTGGACTTGAATCTGACAAGTGCACTTATGGACCTAGTGCAAATTACCAAAGAAAACTGGACAGAAGACTACTACAAAATGGCTGGTGCAACCAAAGAAATGTAATCTTATATTTAAAAAAAAAAATTTAAATTAAAAATTGGAATGTCATGCCCTGTAAATTAATGACATTGCCTATCATCTTTGTTTATTCAAATTCATTATTAACAAAATTGTTTCTTTACTTTATTATTATAATTATTGAAAACCAGATTCATTTTTTAGACGTTTCATTGAATCATTGTTATTCCACTAAATAGAAATACTTGAATGAATCTTCAGAAAGAATGAGGATGTGATTTTGTGTAGTGTAGTTTATATAGGATGCCAGGGTCTGACTGCTCCATTTATTTTTAAAGGGTGTTTATTTATGGAGAGTAATAGTTGGTTTTTCAGATATTTTACCCATAGGCTACCACCAGCATTGGATTTATCACTATCCACCAAGTGCAAGCTTGGTGGTCTAGTGGTTAAGACATCAGGCAAGTTATCTGGAGGTCATGGGTTCAATTCCCACCCATATCACTGAGCATTCAGTAAGATAAAATGTCAGTGAGGGCACCACTACAGATTTATGAACTCCGGTCTTTTTCTACTAAGTTTATACCAATTTCATCTGCTAAAGTTCTTATATTATCCCTCTTTCTATATGTTGTCCTCTTTTAAATTTAATTCAAGATGTCCAAGTAGATGCATTGTCACTCATCATCTGATACTTTTTACTCTCTTCTAGTAAACGTCATCGTAAACCATTTGTACCATTTGCTCTACGCAACGAGACTGGCTCTCGACTTTGGTTCGCCACAATTACAACAACGCCATCAATGTAAGTCCCCTCCAAATATTTACAACTGAAATCTTCACATTGTTTAATTAATGTAATGTTTTCAATGACCAGGATTGTAATAAGAGTGAAAAGCGCTTTCAAATTTCATTATTTAGCCATTATTATTATTATGTTTCCATTTTCATTATAAGTGTTGCTACAAGTACTATGGGTGAGGTTGCTAATGGTGAGAATGTGAGTGCTTGGACAGAGGTCAAAGAGCAAGATGAGGTTACATTTCAGTTTCAGGAGAAGGATAAGATGAGGCATAGGGTGAGTATACAGTTCAAGATCAGTGGCCAATGAATTGCCACATGTTCAGTATGTTTACATTTTCAACAAGCATAAAAGGATAAATGGGGCTTTGTCTTATCTCTCTTTTTACTGAATTTATTCTAATAATGCTGTGTGTGTATTTTTTAGAGTACGCGTGAACTACACATGCATCAAGTTCTTGTGAAGGTAGATGGTTGGCACAAGGTTGCTCCCGTATCAGTGGATAAGGTCGGAGTATACTTCAGACAAGCCAATCCCTACAGAGACCAAGCTTCGAATGTTGTAAGTACATATGCAATAATCATGTGATTCAAGCTTCCCCAATATATGTGGGTTTTAAATGTGTTCATTTTTTTATACACATTATTTTTTTTCCCCCGATTCCTTTTATTTATTTTTTTTTAAATTTATTTATTTTTCTTTGTATATATATCTTTTCAAACTATTTGGCTATGCTCTCACACGGATGCTAACGGTTAGCGGATACCAACAATGTGATTATCGAATCACTGGTCAATAAGAAACTGGAAATTGTAAACACGTACGTGTGATTGGTTGATGATAGAAACTCCCTCAACTTGCTAACCAATAGAGCTTGCTAACCGTTAGCGCTAACCGATCAGGCGTTCTCACGCAGGTGCTAACGGTTAGCGCTAACGGTTAGCTCCTGATCCGGATTCTAGGGCTCTCGTGAGAACCAGGCTCTTGTCTCATTTGTCCAGCAAAGTAGTTATCGTGCCAGTAGTGCAGTGTACTTTAGTAGAGTCTGGTTATGTTTGAATTGATTCATTGTTTACCTTTAGTTCTCCAGTAGCCACCCAGCCAGAATAGTGTTTGAGGTGACCTTAGAAGGCAATGCACGGAAGGTCATAACTGTAAGGTCAGGATTGATGGTTGTCAGTCGACTCAGTATCCCAATGGAACTAAAGGTCACCAACCCTGAATCAACATTATATGGTAAGGCAATCAGAATGGTTATATAGTAGAGATGTAGCCTCGTCATTAAGAGGCTCACCTTCCATTTTCCAAATTGTAGGTTGAAATTCCAAACCAACAAACACCATGATTTTTCTCTCATGCCCAAAAAGCTGCTCAACTTCCCTAAATCTAGGCACAAATTGCATCATTGGCCGCTGCAAGTCCATTTAGAGTGCAATGCAACAATGTGCACGTTTTTAATGACTATGCTTTTAGTCTGCCACCAAAAATCATCAGAGGGCATCGCATCGCGCCAAATGCACACAGAAAGCAAAGATGGATTCATTATACGACTGTCGTATGACCGTTGTATAATGCAGTGTGTGCTCTGCATCTAATAATAATAGTTGATAGCTCTTCTAATAAGTGGTGATGTTTTCATTTAATATTAGATGGAAATAAATTAAAATGTTTTGAGTAATTTATTATCATTTGCCTTTAAGAATCTGAAGATCTAGGAATATTAGAGGCCAATTCCAAGATGACTGTACCTCTTCATAGAATATCTTGGCATCTTAGGGCACGACCTAAAAATGGTGGAGTAGAATTCTGCAAGCGAGCTTTCCTATGGCAACGAGTTACAGACTCTGAAACCTTAGTAATGGAATGCAAGACCAACAATGAGGAAGAGGAGGAACTGTTCAGGTGAGGAGTCATTTCTTTGATGGCAGTATTCATTTGAGGGCAGTGTATAATTGAGGGCAGTATTCATGTGAGGATGTATTCCTGTTAGTGCAGAATTTGCAATAGCAGTATTTATATGTGTCAAGTGGAGGTGATGAGAAGAACCACAAATTTACCAATTATCAACAAATTTTAAGTATAGGCTATAATTATTGAAATATATTTTCAAAATGATACATTATTATTATGGGTTGTAAACAAATGCATGTTTTGTAAGATTTTAATAGAAATAAGGATACCAAGTGATAACTTATTTAATGTAAAAAGAACTTTACCCACATATGTGCATTAGATCATTTAAAAATATTTATTTATTTTTTTTGCATTTAGATTTTGCTGTTGGGTGAAGCGTGAAGCATACCCAGTTGACCCATTAAGCAAGAGACAGCCATCATCCGTAGAGCTTGCTCGGCGTGTGGAGACTCCTCCGCAGCCTGGTCACACGTTGATGCTTCTGCCAACTCTGGTGATGACGAACCTTCTACCATATGAGATCAAATACTTCGTAAAAGGAACATCTTTGAAGGGAGAAATTGCTCCTGGTAAAGATGAGCCAATGTATGGGGTAAGATCAAATGGAAACACTTCCTAAGTGAAAAGTTGTTTCAACATTCCATATATGTCTACCTGAAATATTTACAATAAACATTAACCCTTTTTTTTCCTTCATTATTTTAAGGTTGATATCAATCGAGAGATCAGCTTTCACTTTTTTCTGGAAAACTTTCCTAAAGGAGCAGTAATACATCTTCCTGCTGGAATAGTGGATGATATGCGAGGAGACATCAGGATATTCGACACCAGAGACAGACTACTGGTGCTGCATGCCAAAGTGGAGTGCAGGGCCTCAAGAGCTTTAAAAGTAAATATTCACAAATTCTTCACTATTCATTGGCTAAAGTATTATTATGTGACCATATATTATTGTTGTCAACATACATTTTCTTTACAATTTATTGCATGGGTGAGCATAAAAATAGGTTGTAGGACCAAAGTGGATTTTTGATTTAACACAGATTACCACATCTAAACTTTGATGTTTCCATTGCGCTTCCAACAACCTTTATCGCTTTATGTTCAGTTTTAATATTACTTTTGCAGGTGGCCTGTGTCAGGGCCGTAATAAACATGGTGTTTTCTTGTCAAAGATGGTTGGCGGGCCACACACATAGGGTTTTTAATTCATTTTGCAGGCCGCAAAATAATATACACCCACCCACCTGTGATTTATTGCATAATGTTTGTCTTGATATTTATCATGTGACCACTAATTCTGCTTTTCTTCCTCCACTCATTATTATTATTATTGTTTCTACTTCCCTCTAGTGTCTCATCTCGGCACCCTATTGGTTGATCAACAAATCGGGTCTACCTCTAATTTTTAAGCAACATGAAGCTGATGACGATTCAGCTGGCCAATTCGAAGAACACGAAGCAGCAAGAAGCATGTCACCCCTTCTCTACTCGTTCTCTGACCTGGATAAAACATTCATGTTAGTATAAATAGATGTAATCTAAAACGTTATAGTAGCTAAAGTTAGGCAGCTGATGCTTGGTTAGAATGTCTGTTTCAGAAACTTTTATCTGGATGAATAGATTAAAACCATTGGTAATTTAACTAGGACACCCCTTCCTTTAGTTAACACACCCCTAAAATATAATAGAACAGTACATCCCCTAAACATGTAATCATGTAATCATCACATTCTCATCCTCATTCCCTTTTTATTGTGACTGCAAAAAGAACTGTAGTGATACACATTCATTAATAATAATATATGTGGTTTTTAGGTGTCAAATGCGGCTTGGTAAAGGGTTTGCTGGCCATGAAGGGCGCCCCTACTGGTGTAGTGAATTCTCTTTGGACAGAGGCACTGGTGTGAGGTCACTGAGGCTCTTGCAAAACAATGGAAGACCACAAAAGTATGTTATTTTGCACTTGTATACAGGAATACTCATGGATTCAGATATTCTATATTGTGCCCTTTAAATTTCACGATTATTGTTGCCAAAAAGTAGTAAATTATTATAACGTAGTTGATAATATATTGATTTTGTGTTAGATATTTAAATCAAATGAATAAAATTTCATTTTCGTGTAGGGTGTTCCATCTTGGTATTGACGTCACATCTGGCAAAGGTCGGTATGTCTCAACCCATATTGTGACCTTTGTACCGCGATTCCAACTAGTAAACTTTGCAGGTTGTAAGCTGTCATTTGCTCAGAGACATCTTGTAAAGGGAATGGTAGGTCATCAGTAAACATAAATGCTGTCATATGATATAAAAAAGTTGTTTCCAACTTGCCATTGCAATTTTTATAGGGCGCCACCAAGTAGACCTATTTTTCAGTTGCACATAATAAAACACAACAGACATCTAAGCTTTCTTAGATTATTACTAAAATTCTGTTTGAGTGTGTTCGTGGACCTAGAAGCACCTACCAGTATCATAATATACAGTACTATATAAATTCAAGATATACTGTTTGCTTGTCCTGTATAGACAAGTATTCTTGTCCATGCCAGTGAATGTGATGCATTTTTTTTATATTCTTGTACCTTTCTGTAATTATTCTGAGATTTTCTATCCCCTCATTTGTAAAATGGAATCCATAGGAAAACATATTAATTTTATTTTTACTCCATTTTATCTTTTGTTAAATTTTTCAGATGACAAAATCGCCTGAATTACACCTAGTGGTGATGCCAGAATCGAGCGTTGTCTTTCATTGGCCACGGGATGACCTCGACAAATTGCTATGTGTGCGGATGTCAGAAGTTACAGACTGCAGATGGTCGGGTGGATTCAGGATTGATCGACCATTGTCATTCAACATCAACATGAGGTAAGCTATCAATTTTACTTAGGTGAAGAGATTAAAATTTTAATGCCTTCAAATAATTAAGGAGTTGTGAAAGTTTCATCTGTCAGTTTAAAATCGTTATATATTAATTTTTCTCTGCAATTATTTAGTTTGTTGCATTGCAATTGACTAATGGGAGCATGTCGCATCTCTTTTATAATGCATTCCACATGGAAAATGTTTAGTAGGAGGATTTGTAGTGCCATCAACGTTTGCAAGATGGATACTGGCACTATAGTTCTCATTGATTAATATTATAATTATTTTCTTTTTCATTTACCCACAGGGGCTCTGGCAATAGTTGTACCCTTCTCCATGTAGAAGTTAGCCTTCGTGGAGCCACCTACTTCATTGTTTTCACTAATGTGGATAAAATGCCACCACCCTACAAAATAGACAACAAATCTGAAGTAAGTCCTTGAATTTATATTATTAAGTCTGTGTAGGAAGTATGTATAAATTCTTACTTATGAAAATACTAGGCACAATTTCCTGTGTTAAAAGTTTTACCTGGTACTGGTGTAACCATCTTGTACCAAGTCGTTTGGCAGCCATTGTCTTGTGATGTTGGCATAAGGAAATCGGTGAAAGTGTTTACTATGAGACCTCCTTTCATTTTGCCTTGTTAAAAACATTTTAATTTATGTGTTTTACTAAAGTTCATAGTGATGATGATGATGAGGTTAAATCTCAGAAGGTTAATTGTTACAATGACTAAGGCTGGCCCTGCTATCTGCCGATAGTCATTGACAGACCTGATTCAATAGACAACACTATGCGAGACGGCATCATGTCTTCAGGTACTCACAGTCCAGCGGCCTTACAATCATTGGCTGATGCAGAGTTAGTCTGGTTTAAGGCTACTGTGAACATCAACATATAACTCTGGATGTATGTTAATTTCACTCCAATCTTTTCCAGGTTGATGTTGTTTTCCGCCAGGCTAGTGTAGCTGATGACTCATTAAGTACAACACTGCCCTCACAGTCCAGTATTGCTTATGCCTGGGATGAGCCTGAGCTTCCAAAGCAATTAAAGTGTACAGTAAAAGGAGGCACCAGTGCCTACTACAAGCTGGACCAGATTGGCGAGGGAGAACGTCTCTACTATGAGAACTTCATCTATATTGCTATGTCAGCCACGTTTAATGGGTGTGTTTCACTTAATCTGTATTTTACATAATTATTTTCAACATGGAGCTAAATGATCAATTTATTTATTATCATCTTTACATAACTCATTTTAAATGTTTTTCCATTCCAACATTATCATGTGATTTATCCATTATTTATTGCGTATTGCACAATATCTTAAGAAAATGTGTTCTTATGGAAAAATCCAAGAGATTATACAAACCTTGACCTCACTGCTAAGTTGGCAAAGAATCCAAGCGATAATCAAAGAATTTTGTGATTGAATCCCAATTTACCAAATATGTTTTTTCTCACAAAGTAAATATCATAGTGATGGTTATGGTGACGTCAGCAATGACGATCAATTTCAGCTTCCTATATATATTGGAAAAATACAACAATGCTTTTTTTTTCATTAGATCTGACTCCAGTCTACATTCACTAATCCAGTACGACCATCAGCCAGGATCTTTCAACAATAAACAGCTTGTCCTTGATGCAGTGGATGGTGTGAATGTTGTATTGATGAAAAAGGTAAACACATGAGAACACACTTCTAGATAGTGTACCCATCAAATATAAATGCTCCATCTACATTATAAACACATGTTGCAAATATTTGGTGCATCGTTAGTAAAATTTATGGATTAACAGGAAGAAAATAATAATAATAATAATAAATAATAATAATAATAATAATTTATAATTATAATAATAATAATTAACAGGAAGAAAATAATAATAATTATTATTATTATTATTATTATTATTATATGATTAACAACTCAGGGCAATAACAAAATTTCATGTTAATGAGGTGATAATCACTGAGAATATAGTAAATTGGCATAAAATTGATTCATTTTTGCTAAACAGGAAGCAAATAATAATAATAATAATAATAATTATAATAATTATTTAACAGGAAGAAAATAATAACAATTAACAGGAAGAAAATAATAATAATAATAATAATAATACTACTAATAATAATAATACTAATACTAATAATAATACAATAATAATAATAATAATAATAATAATAATAATAATAATACAATAATAATAATACAATAATAATAATAATAATACAATAATAATAATACAATAATAATAATAATGAAACAATAATGGTTAGATACTTGCATATATCCTCATTACACAACCCGTACCTTTAATTAAGAATGCATCATTTACAATGTTTATTGTGTGTGCATTCTGTAGGAACCAGCTAAACGTAGCCAGCTGTGGCGGATGACAAGTACTGGTATGCTACAGAATGAGGGCTCATGTTCACCACGTAACCCGCTTGAAAAACGAAACAAACCTCTAGACGGTCTCGTGCTTGACATTGCCGAGGGGGCGGCAGACTCAACCAAACCTGTTGATCTGATCTTGTGCAAGCCAGAAGAGGAAAGAAAGGCAACGCAAACTTGGTATTTCACTGAGGTAATATTATGTTTATATATTTTTATTTTTCTGAGTTACGGTACAAATGATGGTGTTATGATTGAAGCTTAAGAAAAACAACTGCCAGTTATCTATACACAGTATGTTAAAGTGGAGAAACAAAGGTGACAAAATTTGACTCACTTAATTTCCATATTCTTCTAATTACTACCTACAGGAACAAAATGTTTAAACATAAGATATGTAACCTGTTTTCCACTTGGCAAATTTATTTGTATGAATCAAAAGCGTTGGTTATGCGCATTCACATTTCTATTTGAGTTTTTCACTTCAGCAAAATAATTGGTTCAAACTGTTTCTGGTTTTTGCAAAGCGAAAAAAATGCGCAACCGATCAGGGCGCGTAAATGCGAACTGACGCTTTTCATTTGCGCAAATATATTCACCTAGTGGAAAACACTTAACAACTCATCATTAGCCATATCTAGAGTTTTTTCGTTGCAGTGCCAGCTGCAAAATAATTTTTTTTTTAAATCTGATCAATATTCATTATTGTAATAAATACTCTGTACTATGTAATATACATTGTATTCGTTAAAATACAATGTACCTGTAATATAAAAAAAACTGATTTAATGATTTACAAAAATTCATAAATTGATATACAGTATGAATAAGACTTGACCTAGAGTGTGTTATGACTTATTTCAGGATGGTCGCCTTCAGTGTAGTCTTGGTGGATTAACAGTACAATCAAAGCACGGCATTATGGGATTGAACTCGGGTAAGATTTGTTTTTATCCTGTTTAAGCCAGGCACTCATTGCATCATACAACGGTTGTAAGAGCATCGGCCAACAAGTCAAACTCCCTCTGTGAGCTTTAGATGTTGTGACGTCATATGCTGATTTTTGGATGCAGTCTGAACGGATTGTCATTTAAAATGATGTCTTGTGTTGTGGAGCTGTGTCCTTCATAGAGTCGCGTCGGACTACGATGCAGTGAGCACCCGGCTTTTGATTATAAATTGCAGGATGGCAAATATGCGACCCAATGGAAATTATGTTGCAGTCCACAAAAATAATTTTAAAACCTCATTTTAAAATTTATTTGGCTCAAAAACTGCCATTTGTTACGGCGCCCGAAAATATCTAATCAAAAAATAATAATAATAATAATAGTAATTAAAAAGGAAGTTGCAAAGTGGAAAAAATGTAATGCTTGCAAAGGCTTACCAGAATTAATAAATGAATGAATGATTGAATATATGAATGAATTTATAAATGAGTGCATTTATGAATGAGTAAATACATTAATGAAATGAGTAAATACATTAATGAAATTAATAAATGACTAATTAATACATAAATGAATGAATGAATAAGAGAATACGTAAATGAAGTAACTGAATAAATAATGAATGAATAAGCCTGTGTTTCAACAACACTTACAATTTCTCCGATAATTTCTCTGATAAATTATCTTAGAATTCTCACCAAATATTTTATCCCATCATGCAATATTATGGACAACAAAGCAATGTGTTAAACACCAAAACATCCATTTTGTTGACCTAACAGGCGACTCTTTTTTGCGCAACAATGGAAGGCCTAGGCTAAGAATGAAATCATATGGTACTATTTCACTCTGGGAAATGTGCTGTTGCAATGATATTTCATTGTACTTCTATAAAGGAGTGAGAAGATGACGAAAAAGAATGCTAGCTTGCTTTTGTGTGCTTTATGGTACAATAAGCGATAGGAAGGGATAGCCTAGGCCTAAAGCCCAGCCAGGCACTGTCGATATCGAACGCAGCCTTTTCAAGCTTTTTAAAAAAATATTTAATGAGCAGGAAAAATGTGAGGTCTCACTACAAAATGAACCTCAAAAAATGAGTTAACATTACATTTTGGTAGATCACATTATAAACTTTAATTTGGTCTTTGAATGGCTTCCCTAGGATAAATAGATCCAGAGATGTTAACATTTAAAGTTTAGGTGTATGAGAACCAGGTTTTGAGAAAATCGGCCTCAAAGATAAACTAACCTGTACAAATAAGAGAACACTGTTTTAGTAAGAAAATTCACTTAAAAAGTACACAATCATAAAATATAAGTATCAAGTTATTCAAAAACATTAAAATAAAAAATATTGTAAAAATGTTGCCTTTGACCTATTTTGGTGAATATCTCAATATGATTTCACCAACAATGCGTCTCATTTCGTGGTGAGAACTCACAAATGTTCTCACTTTTTATTTTGAAGTGTTTGATTATCCTAGGCCCTGTAGGCCTATATAACATATTCCTAGATACCTTAGAAACTAACTACCCAAAAGACTTAATTGCACGTCCGTGATTTGACATCGCTCAAAGGGTTATTTATTTTCAGATTTTGGAGCTTTTTCCAATAAATTATCTGATTCTCATATGAAAATTTATCAGAAAATTTGTGCCCCGTTTCTGCAGCGAAAAATAACAAAATGGCAGTTTTCCGATTATTTATCAGATAGTAAGTGCTGCAAAAACACAGCGAATGAATAAATGAATGAAATGAATATGAGGTCTCTCCAGGAAATGAGACTCATCATTGGTGAGATATGTTAGTGTCAATTTTGATCTCAACATTTTTGAATTCATTACTTTTATGAAAGTTATAAAATTATATCAACGCAATTCAACAGAAGTACGCTTCATCTGGTGTTGATGCTCTCATTTTTGGATTGCCTTTATTTTTGTGAATGAATTAAAAATCTGCCAAACATGTAGTGGGTGCATGATGCACAGATTGTTGATGCTATAGATAAAATCTTTAAGGTCTGTTGATCAGTGCCCTCTGTTGATATTGCATTAATTTTTTTTTTTATAGAACATTATATTTATTTATAATTATGTTAGTTTTACTTATATCAAATCTGAGTTTCCATTATGACTTAACTTCAAATGTCTCTGGAACTAATTATCCTAAGAAAGTCATTCAAATTCTAACCTTCATTTTTAGTTCAGGGTGCGAAGATTGTTGGAATGCCGCAGATAAAACCGTGATGTCAAGACATAAGCACCTTTCTGTTTTACCATGACTTTTAATTGGAACAATTTGTGTCTTCAGTTTATTAACTGCTTATTGCTAGTTTTTGACTTTCATCAAATCTGTTTCCATATATGTCTGGTTTTCAAATGCTCATATTTCTGGTTCTTCCCCAGAAAGTCAGTCAAATACAGTACCACATTAATGCTTATAATGTGAGTTATTCAGATATGCTCTCAAAATCACAATTAGCATCTAAGTCAGCATCTGCTTGGTTGTTTCCTTGGTTTCCTCAGACATATCCTTGTGTGTTTGCATGAGCAGCTTCTAGTGTTTACTATTGGATTCTTTTTCTGAAAGACTAATGGTTGAGTATTGAAGGAATTCTCGTGAAGAGTTGTTTCTGCCAGTAGTTTTTGTAATGTCTTCTCTCTTTTTTCCATCCTCCTCTTCTGAAGTTTTAAGTGCTGCTGCATCTTCCAGTATCTAAAACTATCTACAAAACCAGAATCACTCTGCAAAGATTCACTAGATTTAAAAATTGCTGCATTGTCATAACAGTTAGCTTCAGCAGTGTTCTGTATTTCTTGGTTGTGTATAAGATATTCTGTAGTTGATGGTAGTGTACATCTACGACTTGTATCAACCCATGATACAACAGGCTGGTGATAAAAATAGTGCCCAGTTATGTCAGGCCGTGGGCATGGTTCTTCTGACTCTCCATTTTCTAATCCCGGATCATCAGGCACAAACACAGGAGGGAGCTGTTGTTGTGGTTCCTTTCTACATCGTTTGTAGAGGTAAAATATGCTCAAGAAGATTATTATCGGAACAAAAATTGTGCTGGCAACAACCTTTTCTAACTTGCAATCTTTGGACATAATTGCCTGTAGAGAGAAAATAATAAAATGCTTTAAATTCATTAAAATAAAAATGATTATTATAAAAATAATAACATATTAATTTTAATAGTCAAGTTTGATGTCATTACTGTAAACCTCAATGTTAGTAATTTTCCTATCCCAAACTGTGCAATAATTTTTTATAAGTGCATGGTTTGCTTGACCTTTTTTGGTTTGTTTGCAAAAGGTCAATAACAGTAGTAATAAAATTGAATGTAACAATATTATTTTTCCAGTATTTACTTAGTGTTTGGTAGTAGATGAATGTTTTCAGTATTGTATTTATTAGTAATATTAATCTGAATCGTCTGTGCCTACAGTTTGTTTATGCTGAGCTATTCTAATAGTCCAATTATTAAAGTTTGCTCTCAAGTTTATTATCTCTGATACAGACAGATTTAATGAGTAGCATTATACTTTGATATCCTTGATTATACTAACAAAAAAAATCAGTGTATAGCCTTACCTGTAGGCTGCATGCTATCAGCATTAATGATCAGTCAATAGATACAGATCACATTATTTCCTGTTTACTATCTAGTTTCTGGCTACGGTCATAACTTATTCTCATGCATACAGTATAGTATTTCTGAAACCTACCAATTCCATGTGAAAAAGAACATATATGTACCTTGTACACACTTCCTCCTCCATTAGACACAGACACCACAATAAAATAAATATACTTTATTGTGTATAATCAATGAAGTATGCAAGCTTGCATGCATTTTATCACTTCCTGGTTCAACTGCCTGATTGCCCTATAAATGATTTTGTGACGATTGGTTGAAGGTCACACACTCCTGGATATTCATTTGTGTAAAGCTCTGCCCACACTATTAAGTTTTCTATAATGAATACATGTACAGGTGATTTACACATATATGGTGTGATGACATCATGCCTATATATGGATAATTCCATAGAGTGAACAGAGCCTTATTTATTAAAGTAATTCATCAATTAAAATATTCTTATTCTTATTTACACTTTTTTTAAACTATAGGTTTTCTTGATGTAAACTATTTTTAGGTTTATCGAACAAATCATTTAAAAAATAATAACAATTTAATAATGAATGAATAGATGTTACTTGTCCCATTTGTCTCTGGATGAAGTCCATGGATAAAAGCTACATCTAATATACGCTTAGTCTTTAAAGTGCTGAAATATTTCATTTATTATTTTGTATTATATACAATAAAAAAGTAATGAATATAAAAAAAGTAATGAAAATAGTACACACCAAGTAGGCCACCTAGGTTTACTTCCTAGGCCTAGGTGATCAAAGGGCCAATCTAGATTCGGGAAATGGTTAAATCTATAGCCCCTCGGTGATAAGGAGACAGTAGCCTATCTTCTCGAGGGCCGGCCCTCGGGAAGATTGACTACGGTCTCTACATCACCGAGGGGTAATAGATTTCACCATTCCCCTCATGAACAGTCAATATTTGTATAATAATTATATTAATGGTCATTTAAATAGTGCATTTTTGTAGGGGTTGTACCATGCACATGTCCTCTTGGGAGTAGGTGTTCATTGAACCAGAAACACTGTAGTTCAATGACAAAATAATTTATATTTTTATTATAAAGGGTCACTAATTGAAAAGTTCTTTCAAGGCTCTAGGGTGATTTTTTTTTATCAAAATTTTAAATTTCATTTTTATATGGGAGTGAACTTAGTTTACATAGAGCATCTTGTCTTTGTTTGTCTTGTGAAGGTATATGACACTTATGGCATATATATGGCTTTATGCCTAAAACAATTAATGAAAATAACAAAAAAAATCAATTGGTATTATGGACTTTTGGAAAATGGAAAATTTAAAAAAATAGTTATTGATATTTATTTAAAGATATGGGAGTTGTACTTGGTCCAATGAGCTGTATCACAACTGACAAAGCGCCACCCCAGGAACAACGTGTAAAACGACTCAAGCACAGGCCTGGCTCAGGCAGCCTCACATGCAAAGTGATATCCGACGGCCCTTCGAAGGTTCTACGTATCACAGACAGTTTTCCACAGGTAAGCTGCAGCCATTGATCTATACTATAATGGCTGGATTGTTCATTGACCATTCATTGTACAGGAAAAACTGAAGGTATCGATGCCATATGCAAGAGCACAAGAGACGTACCAGTCTAGAGTTTTTGTTTTCTTTTTTCTTTAAATAATGATTCTTACATTACTTATTAATGATATATTTAAATTCCATGAAATGATTTTTTTCCACCACTCAACATGCCTGCTTGTGCAGTTTACAAAATCATGATCAATTGATGTGGCATTGTTGGTGATCATCACTCTGGTTCAAAAATTTTGCTCTATGATGACGTATTTGTGATGTTTTTGGCTCCCCAATAGGGTGTCAGTGGCTTCACTAAAACCAGCCAATGAGCAATCCAGCGATTATAATAGAGATTAGAGCCAGGAGCTAGTGTTTTGGTTGTGTATTATGCCACTGACAACTTTTCATTGCCATCCCTCCATCTGCAATGACAGCAAAGCACCTTTACTGGATTTTCACCTTATTAAACTTCCCTCAGATGGACATGATATCACAATCTACAAGGTAAGTGAATTCATTTAACAGTGAGCCAGATAAAAAATCCAAGGTGGCATCCCAATTTGTATTTTTTTTTTTTTTTTTTTTTTTTTTTTAAATATGATTTCTACATCCACAAATCGCCACAACACCATTTTGCCACAAGAAACTCTTTGGGATTAATTCCTTGTTTTCTGTTTAATTCATGGTGGTTTTTATGATGTTTCTGGTTTTAGATGTATTTTTTTTTTTTTAGTCATTGAATTGAATTTGATTTGATGAAAACTTATTTTTTAATTGTTAATAATTATTCCTCTATTTTTTAGACATTGATGTTGAACATACAGAATATTATACTGCACATTGAGGAACTTATGTTGCTGAAACTGTTTGAATTTTTCAAGTACGGTGAGGTTGGTCCTGAGATTGAAACCACGAATGAGAGTCGTTATGACGTGTTCAGGTGAGCTGTTGTCACATTATCGTATAATCTGCATACCTTTGGTTTTTTTTTTACCATTTCAATGTACCTATTTTTCAATGATTTTACCATTTAATGAGCTGTAATACAGCTTACTACTAGAAATGTTTTAAAAAAACTTTTTAATCCCGGCACCAAACTCCAAAATACCAGCAGGGATAGTTTGTTACCATTATTTAAGTGATGGTATAACCTGTCCCACCTTTTAATCCAGCCCCCGAAAACTTGACTGAGAAATACAGTGGGTAGTTTTCAACCATAGTTGACTTAATGTAAAGCGCCTAGAGGCATCTGTGATAAATATGTTTATATTATTATCATTAATTCAATTTAATTTTTATTTTGTAATAAAGCCTTGTTATAATAGTCTTTATTATGACCATTTTTGTGTCTTCTGTTGTCTCCTTTATCAGAACTAACGCTTCATTGAGTCAGGCTAAGCGATACTTCTTTGAAACGATCAAAGTAAGTACAGCCGAGTGTCGGTTGACGGTGCTAAAGTCCGTCCAGCTGCCACCAAGATATAAGCAACTCAAGTCGAGGATGCAACTCATGTTAATACAGTTCCAAGATGCACCAGTCAGCCTTGACCCATTTACACGTGTGCATGCATTTGAAACTCAGGAGCTTCTTCTTGAAGTTGTTTCTAAACATTATACTGAAGTAAGTAAATTACTTGCTACTAAATTAATTTATGTATAAATGTAAACCATGGTAAGCTCAACCAATCAAAAATAATGAGCACAGGATGTTTATTTTTTCAAAAAGTGTCTGGATATAAACTTATTCCCTAATGGAATTGAGTTGTAGTTTGGTGATGCTCTAAATTTATCTCTAAACTCATACATACTGTACCACCTAACACAGAAATTCAACCTTAGCCTAACTATTGATCTCATTCAGGAACTAAAGAGTCAAGCTGTTAAGATCCTTGGTGCTGTAGACTTCCTTGGCAATCCCATAGGGTTGCTTCAGGATCTCCGGGATGGTGTTCGTGAAGGTTTAGAGGGCAATGTTGCTGGACTTCTACGAAATGTCACACATGGCATGTCAAACACTACAGCAAAGGTAACCAATCAGATTATATCATTTCACCAGGCCAGCCAATATTGATATGACAATATCTTGACAAACCACTAAGTATACATTCTGACAGTATTTGTAAATATATTTGTATCAAGACTACTATACTAGAGTATACGTTCATTTATATCTTGTAGATGGCAGGAACAATATCAGCCGGTATTGGGTTGGTCACCATGGATCGCAAGCATCAGGACATGCGCCACCAGATTCACCGCTCTCATGGAGAATCTGGCGTTGGCCATTTTATGGCAGGGGTGAAAGGGCTTGGATTTGGAGTAGTTGGTGGATTAACCAGTGTGTTTACGCAGTCATACCAAGGTGCTAGCAAAGACGGAGTCGAGGTAAGTTTAACTGATGTCAACGGAGTAACAGTATTTGACAGAGCTGGCATATTGATTACACATGGCTGCTGAGATACTGCTACAGTACATGCATACTTGATATATACGGTACTTGACAGAGTATTTCATTATAGAACTACAATATCAGAGCTACAGAACTGCCATACTAATACTTGACATGGTAGACCCCCCATTTCAGTAATTGGCAGTGAAATCTCACCTGTGAAAAATGCTGAAAGAATTAAAGTTGCAGCATTAACCTTATGAACTGTTCTCTGCAGGGCCTCTTAGCAGGGTTTGGCAAAGGCATTGTGGGCACATTCACCAAACCTGTTGCAGGGATGTTTGATCTAGCATCAGGAACTGCAGCTGCTCTTAGCTATACCACTAGTAGCAACACCAATCAGATGCCACCTAAAGTGCGCAAGATCCGATGCTGTGTCAACCAAGCTGGTGTGCTGCCACGCTACACTACACATGATGCAACTGGACAGGAGTTTATGCGCAAGATAAGTGAATCTGAAAGCAAGGAAATGTGAGTTTTATAGAGATAAAAAATATTTCATATTTATTGAGCCTATAAAGTGTATAGATTTTGCATACCAGCACTACCATTAGTTGAAATATAAATTTGAAAATGTTTTGCCTCCCTCCATATTTATAAAAAGCATATAAACAGCATATATTTAGCAATATCACTGCTGATAAACTGTCATATGATTTGATATTTCAAACTTTATTAGTTCATCTTCAGGAATTACTGTCATATTATGTTAAAATTCAATGACATTATTTGTAATTGATGAGATTTAATGATTGATTTATTAAGTGTTCTTTATTAAAGGTATATAGCATTTGAGACATTACGAGACAGTGCGACAGAAGGAATGCAGGCCTTGATAACCAGTGAATGCGTCCATTTCTTGGGCGACTCGGACCCATTGAACCCTGTGCTAAGCGTGTGGTACTCAGAACTGTACCACGCCAACCATCTGAAAGTTGGTGAGTTATCAGTTGTGTGGCAAACACAGCACTTATACACAAATTTTTAGCTCAGGTCAGTTCTAAAACTTACATGTTAATGTAACATGCAGTGGTACTACCAGAAGGCACACCAAGTTTTATAAAAAAAAAAACCTGGTGTATTTTGATTTTTTTTTTTTTTTTTGCAGGGGCTAAACATTATGTTGAGTTAACAAAACAAGCATACACCGAGGCTGGTGTCTCACACCCTCACTTAAGTCCTAAGGAAAGACCACGAGTTGGATGTGACAATGAAACTATAGCACTAAAGGTAAGTAATAACTTAAGTGTAGGAATTAAAGTAATATTATAGTGGCACTATATGTTTTTAGTGTGACGTGTTTAACCTAGTCTGCATAGATATGCACCTTAAGTATAATTGATGAGATTGCTTTTGATAGTAATTGTTATTGTCGTGATGGAATAGACAATAACTGGATTGTTGTGTCAGGAGAAACATGTATAGGTGTAATTTTTGCTTTTAATACTTTAGAATACAGGACACTGTTTCTTCTCTTTCCATCCACAAAATCTGGTCTGCCCTCTTGCCTTTCTTTGTATTATTAAATGTTAGGTGATGGAGATGATGATTGAGAAATTTATGGTGGCGAAGTTTAAAGTGGCATTGATAACGATACTTATGATGGTGATGACAATGATGAGGGTGATCATAATGGTCATGATGATGATGATGATGGTGATGATGATGGTGATGATGATGGTGGTGATGATGATGGTGGTGATGATGATGACGACAAGGATAATGGCAGCTACAATGACAATCACGATGATAATTATTATAGTGATGTTAAGGAGGGTGATGATAAATGTATGACGTTTAACATTGCTGTGTTGGTATGCTTCACCAGGTTTCTCAGCAAATCAATTACGCTAAAAGTAAATATGAAGAAATCAAACAAATGGTAGCTACTGGTGCTGAAGATCAAAGTCTTCTACTCGTACTCTGAAAAAACTCCACATCACTGGCTGCTTCTCAGGGATAACTCTTCATTGATTGGTTGTTTGCTGGAGTGAATCAATTGGATTGGTTGGTTTGAAGTTTACTAACAAGTATACTTAATTGCTACTACTGTATGTTAGTATGTAGAGACAGAGTTAAGAAATAGCCTTTTTGCTGGTAGAGTTCGTTGAACCATGAAGGTCATTGAGCTTCTTGTTAAATTTCATTGATGCTCCTTGTGCTTCAACTGGTAGCTGATATGCGCATTAGTCAACTCTAAGGAGATTTTAACCTGTTAGTCCTATGTACACATGATGACCCTTAAGCATGTTTACCAGAAACAAAACATTGGTCATGTGCATTACCAGACCATAGCACATCAAATATACGTCTGTTCCAAAATGTGTATAGATAAGTGTTCGGAGCTATTTTTATTGAGTCTTCCTTGAAATATATAGCATCAGGATCAGTCAGCAGCAAAAAACTAGCACACCAATGGTTAGGGTATACTGCACCAGTGGTTTATGTACAGCACCGACGGTTACAGCATACTGCACCAATGGTTTAGGTATGCTGCACCAATGGTTAAGCTATACTGCACCAATCATGAGGTATACTGTATTGCATCAATACTTTAGGGGTACTGCACCAATAGTATGCTGCACCGATGGTGTGGCACCAGTTAAGGTATTCTGGACCATTGGTTAGGGTACTGCACCAGTGTTTTGGGTGTGCTGCACCAATGTACCGCTGGCTTAGGCGTACTGCATGACTAATAATTTCATTATTTTAAAAAAATGTATTCTAAGGACAGACAAATGAAGTATTTACCTTGAAATGTTGCACTGTTCTCTGTTTGGTGGGCTCTATATAGCCAATGATTATTTGTTATCAAAGGAATGAAGGTTAAAGGTTTGTTGACATATGGTTCCTCAACAGCTTAAATCAACAATGCAAATAATAAGTTAGAATATAGTTTTATCAAAGTTTAAAGAATGTATACTAATAATTGCAAGATGTAAAATTATTAAAAGATTTTAAAATATTGGTGGCAAATTGGGTTTTACAGTATGTAACCTATATAATTTCTAGCCATTAAATATTATTTACTGATTCATAATATTTATTATTTTTTTATTTATTTACTATATTGAATAATGAAATATATTTTTACTTGAATTGGATCTCACAACTCAATTATATATTTATGTTAATTTTGTTGCGTATTAATTTTCACAATTGTTATGTTCCTTAGTTTGAACACTATTTAGCTGTCCTGATTTTGATGATTAATAGACAACCTTGAGTTTTAGTTCCAAAGGGATTACTATAGTATTGGGGAAAGGGGAGTTTGTAAAATTATATAACTTCTTTATATTATATGAAGTAACTGATTCCTTGATTGACCTAAGGTTATTTCGTTACTCAATGAAGAACAGTAAGCCTACCGTAAAACCTCGAATAGAAGCCCATCTTTAGTTTGCAAAAGTAGCCAGGGCTTCTTTTATTTCCATGATGCATGAGTTTTTTGTCGAGATAGTGGAGTACATACACTTTACATGGATTTCAAAGCAACAAAATACATTAAAAACATGCTTGGTTATACAGTAGTTTAGTTTAGATTTAATTCCGGTTAATAGTATTAAATACACTACATGATACATATTGATGTTACGGTGGCCCTATTGTTTTGTAGTAGTAATTCTCAAAATTTATAGCATTCATTTTGAAAAAAAGCACCTTCTTTACGTTGCAAAAGTATTCTCGATATGAAGCCCATCTCGAAAAGAAGCCCATCCAAAGTTTACGAAAAGACAAAACCCAGTGCTTCAATTCGAGGTTTACGGTATTTATTAATTTCTTATTAATTAAAATGAATGTCCCGCTTTTGAAGGGTTTTTTATCTGTGCTATGTACATACATATGATTACCCCAGGATTTGGGTTGTGTAGCTTTAATTTTGGTGCCAATTACCCATGTATATTGTATGCATCAGTTAAGTCGGACCTAATTTTGAGATTTATCATTGTAAAAAAACATGTACAGTTTGAAAATTTAAAGAGAATTATTAAATATATTATAGATTAAATTTGGTGTATTCATCACTGTGTTATGACCACTATATTAATTCCTCTTACGACCAGTAGGCCTATTGTTTTATTGTGAATTTTGTTGTGTATACACAAGTTATTCCATGTCAAATAAACCAATTTTCTGAAAGTTCAGCTATTGGACTTTAAAATTTTGCATGTGCTCATTTTTTTTTCTGCTTAATTCAAGATCTGTACCACCATTGGTTGATTTGACATGGAATCACTGCCATTGGCATTATTGAATGATTCTAATTTCTCCATGTTATTTAATTACATGATTTAAATGGGTGCCTACCGGATGCATTCTTGCCTAATGTATAATTCATTATTGCTATTTTTTTAAAATTTATTATTATTATTGTTTATCATATGTATCATCATCGTCGTTATTATCTTTATACTGTATTATTATTGTTGCTGCTGCTAATGTTTTGTCATTAGGCCTACTATGTATTCCAATACATGACATATCGAATTCACCGACGAACCTCGCATATGAGAATGAGGACCACAAGTTATACAGGCTGCTATACTGTAATCGATAATTAATTAGCGATCTTCCAGTCGAGTTAATATGTATAAATTGAAGCCTACTGGAGCTGAATAAAGAAGTAATTGAATTCACAATCAAACAAGATATTGATATGCAAACAACAAGCAGAATAATTATAGCAAAAAAAATGTAGGCCTTTAGCGAGTTATCACCAACTTTTACCGAGATCTCAAAATTAGCTTGCAGCTGATATAGAAGAAGGGTAAGTAATCCTACTAAAGGGGTAAATGTTGATATTATATTATGAAGGCACGCAGACCGCAGGTGCTAGACGCGAACCTATAGCACCATTGTTTAATCATTGTTTTGTTATGCCTTAAAATAGCTAAGCTAATAACGGGGATAGACCTTATTCCATTTTTCCGGGTTTTCTGGGTGCTTATCTTAATTGTAGGTTTGAACGGTTATAATTGTGTCCTAGGCCTACGCCTAGGTTTTCTTGTGGGACCACTGTGCTGTGCTAAATAGAGACGTGTGCCTTTTCTATACATCAAGTATCTTGTGAAATACAGCGCACAATGATTCACTATATTTCACCATATTCAACCATCTTTGGAATAGACTACTTAGTCAGTAAAAAAACATACAAGTATAAGATCGCATACAATTGGGAAAGATTACAGCATATTAAATCTAAATTCTAACCGATAGTGCTGCCCAATTCATCACCAGTGACGCTGCGCGTCGCGTTTCCAGGCACCTAATTTAAGAGAGATAAAGTTCACATAGTGATAGATCGTATCGCATCATTTCCCAGCTCATTTTCTCATCTGTCCCCATCAGTACCCATCCCTCTTTTGGCTTTACACACGTACTGTGGTGTTGGAGGTTAGGAGAGAATTTCAAACAATCGAATGTCCATCGGCAGATATAATGAAACTAATTGAAACAACTAATAAAACTATATTCAATTTAATTTTAATGCTTGAGATTTAAAACTGACGAATTGTGTCTTGGTAAATGTAAATTTAAGGGTAGTTTAATGTAATAGGGATTAAAGATTAGTGGATTAATCTTGAAGAAAGCACGACAACTCTGCTTGCATATTGGCGAAGATTTTAGCACAAAGGAAACTATTGTTGACTGCCTTAAGTCCTTGCAGATGAAAGGCTAACGATTATTGATCGCACGCTTGCCCAAAACAGAGAACAATCAAACTCGGTTTAGGGGGCAGGGGCGGTGTATAACATTGAAGGCCACGTTTGAAATGACATCGAAGACTCATTTTAACATGAAGAAAACATTGTTTTTATTGATGTCGTGATGAAAGTTCTGTCTTGATCATAAACATGTGTCTTGTCTAATTTTTGCAGCTGGTACTGGCACGATGGTATTTTCGCAAACGTGTTTTCAATTGTTATACTTTAAATATCGACACGCGTTCAGTGCAGTAGGCCTACATTAGAACCAGCTTGTCAGTTCCATTGTGTTTGCTCCGGGTTTGCTGAGTACACATTTCTTATCAAAAATAAGGTATGAAACATTAATTTTGACTTATCAAGCAGCTTTTTTTAATGAATGGTGATTTAACGTCTTTTTAAAATTTAGTTGTAAAAGGTTGTAGGTCTACATTGTTCTGTACAAGGTTTTTCATGTCTGTTCACTTCGCCGTATTATCCGTGTTTACCGTTGCGAATTCTTACTCTAGCATTTTCTTAATATTACAATGAGACTGCATTATACATTTGCTAACCATCTTTAAATTTACATTATTTTGAATCCTCAAATGTAATTATTTTTAGCAATGTTTCGTAGGGCCTATATAATCTTCGCTTACATACTCTCGTGAATGTTGATATTTAAGAAAAGTTTGACCCACAGTTGTATATCATTATTACTTTAGTTTGGAAGAGCGTATAAAACAGAATTAATAAATAATAAAATATACAATAGTTATCATCTTTAAAAAAAAATAATATAGTAGGTCTATAGTATATTATCATTATCTTAATAATATATAATAATTAGGCCTATTATCAATATACGATCTATTATGTAAAAATTCAGCACGTTCGTAATGTTTTAACAGATTAAAGTCCAGACTGAATGACATTCCGACTGTTGTATTATGTATGAGAAACACCACCGTGCCATAGGTCTAGGCTTATAATTCTATTAACATCTTAAATGGCATTTAAATATCGATTTAGAAGTAATGTCATAGGTCGGTAGATAGGAATCTTGGTCCCAAGTGGGCATCCAGAAATATACAACATGCACGAAATTCCAAAGTAACCAGTCATGCGGTACAACCGGATTATAATTCATTGGTAATATTTGCCAATTGTACCTTTCTTAATATCATAAACTTGAGGGTAGGCCGAAACTATCGGTTGTAGCCTGTAGGCCTAATTGCCAAACGGTTTGGCCTAGTTGTTAATCGGCTTTTAACCAATAGCATAGCGTATGTATAGAAAAATCGCACGTGTCGCACGTAAAACATACCAAACATTGCGTCATTGGTTCTGGTGATGATGATGACGTGATGTTGCTGCTGATGATGATGATGGTGGTGGTGGTGATGGTGATGATGATGATGAATGATGACGACATTGACGAAGATAATGCTGATGACAACGATAATGACCGATGATGTTGATTATGATTATGACGCAACGACGAAGATTCATTCTAACACAATGTGCTTTAATTTTTCAGGAGGCAATGATGAACGCAACAATTGACGAGACGGCAACATCGGCAATTGGAGGATCTCTGATTCTTGTCTCAACAATAGCAATAATCTGTAATGTACTATTTCTAGTTACCATATCAACCGCACGCCGATCTGCGCCCGAAACATTACTATTAATATTGTCTTTACTCGACCTCACGTTTTGTATACTAGTCACGCCAATATCGATTGTAGCATATTTAATAGATTGGAATATAGCTGATACGCAGAGTGCATGCGACTTCCAAGGGACAATTTCATTTGCTATCAAGTTTAGCTCGACTTTTGTTGTGTGTTGTATTTGTTTAGAACGTTATTTTTGCTTTAAACCCATTCAGACTTCCTTTAATACATCGTGGAATGGAAGAGCAATCTTAGTTTGCACTATATGCGTCTTCTTCAGTCTGTTAGTAGGAGCTGTGCCATTGATTGTTGGGAATAGCATGAAGCATTTTGGAGACTCAATGAGTTACTGCCACTTTAATATCACACCTAGTGACTCAGTTTCGACAACATTCTCTGTCATTGTATTAATATGTGCCTACATTATGTTACAAATCTCGATGTTTTGCTTGGTGTCTGTGTTGTGTAACTGGGAAACATACGCGGTACGCACGAACCCGGACGAGAGACAGGATGGAAATACTGTTCATGCTAGGGGTAATACGACCACAGCTGGAGATTCGAACCACAAACGCGGCTTAACAAGAATGCTTCTGGCTGTGGCTTTTCTTCACTGGTGTTGCCATCTACCATTCATGGTAAGCAAAGTGTATAGTGCTCAGTTCATTAACATTTAATGAAAACGGACTTATTGTATTGCAATGTGTTTTGATGAACCAAGTAAGAACCCTGTTTTTAAAGATATAATATTTTAAAAAACCCTAAAACACAAGAGCACATTAAAGGTTCCAATTTATAGTTTTATTATTAAGTTCAATCAAGAGGCAGATCCAATCAAACATGTTGTGGCTCATTAATCAGTAATATCGATACCGGCCAGTTTAATGGTGTATTAATCATTCGGGAACGGTGATTTATTCGTTTATTTTCAATTGAACGCCAGCTTACTTAAAATATCATTTAAAGTATACAGTAATTAAAAAGCCGACTAATACGAGACACAAAACCATTTTAGTAGGCCTAACATTGACTCTACAATATGCCTACTTGACACGATCGTATGTAGACCTGTTCAAATACATTTTAGTAATACAATTATTCAAAATTGATTTATATTCTGTTTATAATGTAGACATCTATTGCAGTCAACCTCGGCGACCTAGTGTTCAATTTATTTTTTTAATGATCTATGGTAGGTGCTGCTAGCAGTGACACAGATTCAGGGAAGAGTTTCTCAAACGGCTGATTTCATCGTAGTGTATATCTTGGCGGTACAACCTACTTTAAACCCCCTAGTAATCTTTGCTCTGCATCCCCCTTACTATCATAGACTTAAGGGTAAATTCTGGAGAAAAACAAACGGTAAGATATGTCTACACTCCAATTTGATAAACATATGTGAAACGAAATTATTTTCAATAATTCATTCCTACATTTGTTCGATCATGTATTCATTCGACATATGTTCGTACCTTTTTCAAAATCTATTAAATCACTCTTCCATTTCATTTTCTAAGATGCACCTGCGTTCAATCATTCATCTGATGAGTCGCGATACCGTGACGTATCTCAACAGGACTGCTCTTATTGGACAAGGTAACCTGGGCTCCAAATACATTAGGTTTACATTCTTCTGGGCACGGTATTTTATTTTTGGAAAAAATTGAAAATACAAAAGAAAAGGTAGTTTAGCACTGTATACCAACAGATATGACAACATTGTAGGCTGAAAATGATTTTTCATGCAATAATACTTTATCATATTCTGAATCTATGTTTCCCCCATTTAGAGACAGTTACGACACCATCGACACTAAAGCGACTGGTACTGTGACAGAATCCTTTTCTCATTATGTTCCATCTTACTCCAGTGATGACGACCTTGGCTTGATCCGTCTAGACGGCTTACTGGCGGAAGGTTCAGAAGAGAGGTTCATAGGCCAACATCACGTTGATTATCACGGAATGTTTAATCATGCTTATTACGACTCTGAATCGTTAACATGTAGCACTTATTCTGGAAGTGATGTCAGTGACGACGAAGGAACAGGAGGTAGGTCTAGGATCCGTTGCATTCTGTAGAAAGATAATGGTGCTCTTTGTGTGTGTACTGCTTTATTGAATTGTATTAATTAACAGTGACATCAGTGATAATTGATTATACTGTATGGCCAAATGATATTCTGTGATATGAACCATCTCTTCGTCACTACTCTGGTGGCTCAACGTCTGTAGCTGTCCCCACATTTCGTACATACAATGGTTAATGGAAAATGCACTTGCTCGCTCTGCCTCTTCCGGGCCTTTGGAATGAACCTTAATTCTTTCATATAAACAAATCACCCAGGCTTACATCTTTTAATTTTAACACCTAATTTTACTTTGCTTCTGGTCATTTTTGTGTGTGATTATTATATATTTCGATTATTAACTGCTATTTTCTCGTTCATAGAATTTGACACAGACTTCTCTGAGTATTCGTATACGAGCGACGAAGGACATCATGGAATTCTATACTTAAATAGAAGATCAAGGAAAATAATTTTGCCGAGACACGGTTCAGAAGCTTTAGGCCTATATAAAACTAGATCAAGTCAACGCTCTGTTTACGGAACGCATTTTTCACCACATAATTCTACAGAACGGTATATAACTCCAAACTGTATTTCAATCCAACAAGTTAATGACGGAAATGGTAAAGAACCGCGCCCTCAATTATCGCTTTGTCAAAGTGACCGGGAACAAGCTCAAATAAATGTTATTAATGCACAAAACGACGCATTTAAGATTGATAATAACAGTAATATGTACAATAAGACTATAGGTCCAACTGGACAAACGATCTTGGTCGATGAGGTCAATAAGGAAAAGACACCCAGATCACGTCAAATTATTGGCAGGCGTGAACTTCGACGGTTAGGAATCAAGAAAGGAAGATTGACAGAAACGTTTACACGTGATAGCATACCACAAGAAACATCTTTATACCAAACCAAAAGTCAAAAAAGCATTTGTTTAGTGTGTCAAGGCCGGTATGCTCGACATGTTCCCCATTCAAAACACAATGTACAAAAAATTAAAGACGCAATTGTGAATGAGCCGCCATCGACAGAAGTGGCAAAATCCAAAAGCAAAGACCCGCGATTCATGAACGTATTATTTCAAAAAGCTCTCTATAAACACAGTGGTGGTAAGGATTTAAATCCGAATCGCAAAGATAGCAGTGATGCATTTAAGACGTTTCCTGAGAATATGCAGAATCGACAAACCGGATCTGCAGAACAAGTAGATCAACATGAGGATATTAATTACCGACAATACATCAGACATATTGCTAGCCTGAAGCACAAGCCTGTACTAACCAATGGGAAACATCCACCAGGAAGCCAGATGAATGGTAAACAAAACAATGTCTCAGGAAGAACACGAAAAAGACCTAATTTTGCAGATGCAATTACCAACTTGAGAAACGGGAACCACAGGATCGTAGAAGAAAAGCTAGATGAAGAGTATAAAGCAGCAACTCTTTCTGAGATGACGTCAGAATTTGACAACCAAACTACAGATTTAGCAAAAGTGAAAGAAACCGATGTGAACATCTCTCATGCAAGACCTACAACTTTCGAACACATTGAAGGCATTGAAGACGAAAAGCATCGTGCAGAAATTAGCCATTCTATGCAATGTAATAAAAACCAACTTTTTGTTACAGAGAATAAATCAAATATAGAGTATACTCAATCTAGATTCGGTCATATAGGCTGTAGGGATATGGACACCGGAGTTGTATCGGACCTGACTGGAATAAATGTTGGAAGCAAACCAGTATTAATAATAAAGAAGGTTGACGGAAAACTGCACAATGAGGATAAAAACCACAGTGACGTAGAACTAACAACTGAAAGTCTTTCGAATAACGAATATGCCTTTCGGTACCCAATGAACATTCCTAAAATTGAAGTCACTGATCTATCGGTTAACGACAATCATGAACGGTCAGGACAAACTTTTGGAGATTCTATTCTTTGCCAGTTGAGAAATGATACAAAACTGAGCCCATTCGAGCCAAATAACTAATAAGTTAGGAACACTGTCAACACGGTGAAGTTTTCTCTGACTTGATTTTTTTGGGGCTTTTTAAATTTTTTTAATTTTTATGGTGATAATTCATGCTTAAATGACATGTACAGTACACAACCATTAATTATTTCTCCGAATTTTCGGATCGGAAAGCCTACAGAACCAATCAGGAAATCGAATCAGTGTGTAATAATAGGAACGCTGGCGTTCAACGCATCGGAAACACGTCCGAATTTCGGTTCAGATTTGATGTGAATGCAGATTAATAATTTTACTCGAGATTTATCGACATTAATAGCATGTTTGATCAGTGGCGGACCGTAGGGTAAATTGCAGGGTATACTAGGTATTGGCATATCGTAACCACCCCTCCCCCCCCCCCCCGACAAAAAAAAATACTCGCCCATCCCCCAGTCTCACCCCGCCCACAAATCATGCTCAAATAGTTAAAAATCACCGATCCCCCACTTTACGTTCCTACCCTCATCAGCTCCCTTCTATTTCAAGACCCCTACGCCACTGATGCTAGGGCCTGCTAGTAGGAAAAGTTCGTAAGCCTAATACTATACAGAATCAGATTGCGTTCTACTATAGTCAAAATACAATGTAGGCCTGTTATTTTTAATACCGGCATAGTTGTCTTCTCTTCAAAAGGATTCTTATATATGTATTTTAACAAATTTCAATTCAAATAATAATAATTCAAAGTTTCTTCTATACCGCTCATATGTATGTAAATTTATTTAAACTTTAATCATTCAGATTATCGGCAGTGGAGGTCCCGGTTTGTGAGAAGAGCATGCGCACATACTCTTGGAAGCACCGCTTCCATTTCAGTGTTAAATTGGCTATTCTGAAGCCCACCACACGGTTGTCACAATAGCAAATTTATTCAAACTTTTTAGGCTGCGGGCCAGTTTCAATCTATTGACCACAGGCGGGCCGACATAAATTTTACTTCCAATTTGTTTTTAATGTCAGCCCCACCCACTTTATAAAGGCTTACAAGTCTTCCTAATAGGCCTATTATTAGCCTTGGTTTTTCGACATAAGACACCGTTCCGCAACCTGGGTCGCGACCCAATGTTTGGGTCGCGGAAACATTTAGATGGGTGGCATAAACTCTAAAGATGGTGAAAACTCTACTTAATACGAACAAGGACAAATGAAATCAAATTACATATCATAGCTTTTATTTTATTATTTTATATAGCGCCTATTCAAAGCGCTATTATGTTAAAACAATTTTACTTCAGGTATGAGAACTTGAAAGTGTTACTTTTGTTCCTTTCATTGTGTTTGGCTTTCAGTTGAAAATTATAAGGACAAAACATTTTTCTCTTCAATTTAATGTGTCTATGTCTGTGTCCAACCCATATTTCTGGCAGCAAATCTATGAATTTGTGTAGGCCTATATAGTAAAATGTCTGTAAATAATTCATTTTAAAAAATCTTATTGGAACATTTGATAACTTAATAGGGCCTACGTGCTTTGTTAAATGAGTAATTCAAAGTTATAATTTCATTTTTTATGTGTTTTAAATTGATTGTGTGGGTGATCTTTGGAGTAGTCGATTGCTAAAAGAATCAGGTGAGTTCTTCTGATAACCCTCGCGCGTATAAAACGACAGACGTGATTTATTGACTTAATTCACTCAAACTAAAAAAAAAATACCGTATTCAATCATTTCCCTATTCTATTCAGATGAATTTGGCTTCCGGTTTGATGGGGTCGCGCCTGAGTGCTTGACATATAATTTGGTCGTGAGCTAAAAGTTTGCGGAACGGGGATCTAAGATAAGCCTTGTTTTGTAAAAATGAGGGAACGCAGTTTGGCATAGGGAACATATCTCCTACCCTTCTACCACTAGAAATTTTCCAAAAAAAAAAACACCCTCATGTACTAAGTACTTAAAAAAATGTCAGCGCCAGAAAATTCCCGACGAGGAGCCTAGATTCTCTTTCCCTCGATTTACCTCAGCTCATGGTTGGGGCTGAGGTGAGCAATTTTTTAAAAATATACACCTCTAGATCGACGGAAATGATCAAAGGAGTGTTTTTAACAGAATGACATGCCCAAAAGCCTGCTCCACGGATCCGCTGGTGGCACCGCAAATGCTTAGACATACATCATATCAATGATCCCCCATCAGTCTCCCTATCCCCCATTGCCATTAGCACAAGAATCACCAACCCGTCTCTACTCCCAATGGCAAGACACTAGATGGATATGAAAGTATGTGATGTGAACTATGTTCTTAGTGAGCTACACTAAGAAACACTAATATAATGCCAAGATAGTCATGTTTCTATTAACAGAAAAACTGTAAGTGTTTAAAATCGAACGGAAAATGATTACTTTGTAGGGATGTTACGCGGGTCGGATCAATTTGCCCGCGGGCCGGGGGTTGAATATCGGGGTTATAGGGTATGCTCTGACTACCACTGATTCACTGAATACGTGATTGGCTGATGTTAAAAACCAGCCATGCGGTAATTCTAAGCAACTGAGAGTACGATGCGAGGCCCGACTGTCACTTATCCAGACACCAATGTAGACTAAACATTGAAAAACTGTAGCATTCCACTCTAAAAATTAAGGTTTATATAGAATATTCTGACTAAGAAATGCTAAATAAAACGGAGAAACTGTACTACTATATATTTTCTTTTTAATTTGTTTTGGCCAGGGTATGCACTGCATACCTTGACGGTCCGCTACTGGTTTTTATAAGTGTTCAGATGTTTCTGTAAGCTCCTTAGGCCCTACTGCCAATATTAATACGTTCAAGCAACTCCTACCGTTTTCTATAGACGTGTATAAAGATAGACACATTGAATCGGCAGCTGACGAAATTCCACGAGAATGTGACGGGTCGTGTAAATGATCGCTTTCAATCCACTTTTTATTTCCACCAACAGCCAGTTAAGCAAGTGCTCACACAATGGGCGAGCCAATTCAGCAGTTATAAGGTATGAATCGATATGTTAATTATAGCCATGACTGGAAAGAATATTTATACCAGTTAAAAAAAAATGCTCAGACTGTCGAAAAAAGAACATAAATATATCAATAAATAGGATTAACCATATTCAAACTTTATTCTTTTGTATTTCATATACACTTTGTACAAATTAAAATCAAACTTTAAAATCTGTATTTATTATCTTAAATATCTTGACCGATATACATCGAGGTTGGTTTCCACTGTAAGCATGGAAGTGATGGCTATCAACAAAAGTCTACAAGGAACTGAAGGCAGTACATGCAATTCTTTTCTACTAAAAACCGAAAGGTCCACTGATTAATCTCAGATAAGAAAGTATAATACATACTCCAAGTATTGAATACACGCCATCGTGTTGGGATTCAATATTTCGACATTAATTATGTCATCATCAGGAATCAATTCAAATCAATTCCTGATGATGACATAATTAATGTCGAAATATTGAATCCCAACACGATGGCGTGTATTTCAATACTTGGAGTATGTATTATACTTTCTTATCTTTTCTACTATTCTTTCGGAATTACCAGGTGCTTAATAGGGAGCTTTTGCGACGAGGCGATGCTAGAACGGGATCACTCATGCGTGACCGTCCTACCGGGCGTCCTGCATTCTCTGCATATGTAAATTTGGCTAAATTATGTCCAAGAATCCACTCGACAAGGAAAACATGCGTTCTTGCATGTGCAGGTGACTTTTAGTGATGTCATTACATTCTACGTCCTACCGACGTTGTGCAATCAAAAGCACCCTACTATGTCTTTCATTTCAAGCCATAAAGGAAAGCTGAGAGTGAGGAAAGTGTTACATAACAAAGCACTCTTCACATTCTTTCTGCCGAGGGATGAGGGAGGGTTGGTTGGTCTACTTCTCTATTGAGGGACAAGGGAGACTGCAGTTGGGAAGTCAAACCCATTTGCCACCTTTTTACCTGCCAATGGATCTGTACTATTCGTATTGAATACCATTGTTATCTGCATATATTAACAAAAACAAAGACTATCAGAAACTAACATTGCAAATGGTCTTTAAATAAAAATTACTAAAACACTTGTTTAGTAATAATATATGTATTATGTTAATAAGTTTTTGTTAAACCTGCCACTCTTTAAAGAAGTCATTTCCTTTATCATCAACAACTATGAATGCTGGGAAGTCTTTGACTTCAACTCTCCAGACAGCTTCCATGCCTAGCTCAGGATACTCAAGCTGTTCAACTTTTTTGATGCAGTTCTTTGCTAATATAGCTGCGGGGCCTCCTATAGATCCGAGGTAAAATCCTCCATGGGTTTTGCACGCTTTTGTTACCTAAAAAATAGAAATAACTTTCCTTAAAATACTCTCAGTAGAAAAATTAGATACTTATATAATATACAAAATTAATATTGACTGCTCATGAGGGGAACGGTGAAATATATTGCCCCGAAGTGATGTGGAGGCGTAGCCTACTGTTTTCCCTCAGGCCTTCGGGATATAGATTTCACTGTTCCCCGAATCTAGAGCAGTCAATATTAGTTTTATATTATACTCGTACACGGATTCCACGAGGCATTAAAAAAAGTAATGTACCAAGTTAACCCTAGGCTTGCTGATTCGTGGCATGGTGAAAGGGCCATTCTCTCACTGCAGAGGTTGCAGTCCCCTTTACCATCTGTGTATGTCATAAATTACACAGCAACATTATGAATGGGGCCTAGAGATTACATCGAGATAGGGAAGAAAGTACATTTTTCCCCAGGAATTTATGAACTATCATTCAACATAGGAGTGATGGTTGAAGTTATTACCTGCTTTTTAATCAATCAGATGCTTGAAATATATGTATGTGGTATAGTAATTTATATCGTACCCTTTACCAAGGCATACAAGATGCTGCTTATGTTGGTATTAATACAACCAGCAACCTTAATGATTCCGTGCAAATAATGTGACTATCAGCATTAGTACATGGAGCTACTATTCTTATCCTATTATTTTCAAATGTCGTTTAAACTTACTTGTTTACTCCTGTTGCCTTTAGCTAACATGACCATTGAGCCGCCTGCTGCCTGGAAACTGTCCACGTATGAATCCATCCGTCCAGCGGTGGTTGGACCAAACGACCCAGAAGCATAACCCTGCAAGATTTAGGATAGGCAGTATTGAATTATGAATTTATATATAGTTATATTTTTGGGTTTTTTTTTTTTTATTACTAAGCCAAAAATTGCATATTAGAAAAAAACTTCATTTATGATAGATTTTTAAATATTGTTGTTGAGCAGTTATAATTAAAGCTGGGACTAAAATAGCTCCATGGTTCATTACACACACACACATAGGTTAGGCCACTCTACTATATAGCGCCCTCTATGGGCTCTCAGTGATGCTACTGTAATGTTGCAATCATTCCTTTGAGGTAATAATTGATCATGTGTTACAAGCTGTGTGCTGACCATAGTCAGTTTTAACACCTGTGATTTTTATTAAGATAATAATATTCTGTTTGTGTGAAGGAATAGGGACCAATGGGTTAAAAATTGGCACTTGAAACTTTAAATGGAATCTGCAGAAAAATTTTATTTTATTTTAATTTGCATCAAACAAAATCTGCAAAATGATCCTGGACTCCCAAAATAGGAAACAGCCCAACTCCCTGATCATTAGGTACAAATTGATATTGAAGACAAGTTAATTTTATTTTATACCTCTGGTGTTTTGGCTGGTCCTGCATAGTAAACCGGATGATCCTTAATGTACTGAGGCAGACCTTCGCCACTATTAATCCTCTCCTGCAGCTTAGCATGTGCAATATCTCTTGCAACTACCAGAGTTCCGGTCAAACTAAGACGTGTTCTGATTGGATACTGGCTTAAAGTACTAAGAATACTGCTCATTGGTTGATTCAAATTCACCTAGTTAAAAATAAATTGGAATAAATAAAATAATAATTCTTAAAAATAAATTGGAATATTATTTGCATTTGTTTAAGAATAAAATTATCATTTTATTTTTGTGTTATTACAATTTCACTATGTGATTAATATTATCATAGACACCATGTATTACCAATACCATTATAATTATTATCAATATCATTATCATTGTTTTAATGTTATAATACCTTAACAACATCATCACTGAGATCTTCCATGGATATTTCTGGTAAGTACTGGCTAGGATTAGTCTCAAGTTGTTCTAAAAATACACCTTCCTCTGTAATCTTACCCTTCACCTGTGAACAAATATTAATCGATCCATCAATAAATGAATTATTCAATGAATCGGTAAAACAATCAATCAATTTCTCATTAAATTTAAGCATACTTGTCTGTCAGCAGAGCAGGAGACTCCCAGACCAACCGGGCAAGAAGCACCATGGCGTGGCAGGCGAATCACCCGCACATCATGACAGAAGTACTTGCCACCAAACTGCGCACCGATGCCCATCTTCTGACTAAGCGTTTGTACCTGCTCCTCCATCTCCAAGTCCCTGAAGGCACGTCCAACCTCACCACCTACAATCAATGTATATTTCATAAATGACAATATATTACCACATAGATGCGAAGCTGTTCCTGTCCTGGTGACTGCTGCTAATTCACAAGGCAATCCATTATTATCAGTAGTAAACAATACAATAATCTTTACTATTTTCATTACTCACCATTCGTTGGAAGATTGTCCAAGTATTTTGTCGAGGCCAGTTTAACAGTCTTGAGTGTCATCTCAGCTGATAAGCCCCCAATTACTAATGCGAGATGATATGGTGGACAAGCTGCCGTGCCTATTGTCTGGGAGATAATAGTAAAAATAATAATAATTTAATATTTTGAAATCATGCAATAATACAAATTTAGAAAGCTAAACATAAAGACGCCAGGCAATGTTGTATATCCGAGTTGGTTTTGGGCTAGGACAAAATCTTAGTTGACAATTGTACCTTAATTTTCTCGTTGATGAACTGTGTAAGTTTCTCTGGATTCAGTAGCGCTTTGGTTTGCTGGTACAGGAACGTTTTATTTGCCGAGCCACCTCCCTTGGCAATAAACAGGAAGTGATATTCATTACCAGGTGTGGCGTATATCTCTACCTGTGCAGGTAGGTTGGTGCCAGTGTTCACCTCTTTGAACATGTCCACAGGTGATACCTGAATTAAAAACATGATGTTGAAATTGATTGACGGTTGGTCACAAATGATTAATGTTGTTACTATGATGTTGTACGTTATTGACACTAGGTGGTTAGGATTAAATACTGGTGATTACAGAACTGACTTGTAAGTGAGATTATTTGTGGCTTACCTGTGAATACCTGAGGTTCCTTTGTGTGTAGGTATTATAAACACCTCTTGAAATGTGTTCCTCATCATTTTCATCAGTCCAGACATTCTGACCTCGTTTACCTGAACGCCATAATTACAATTCACCAATAATAATAATAATAGTGATAATAATATGATAGTGATAAAAAAATTATAATAATAATGTAATTATAATAATAATAATATATTTTTGATAATATATATTTGATAATAATAAAGTACACTTTTATATAATTGTAAATACTGTTGTTTAACAATTAGTACTTTCCTTAATCTTACTGTAGGCCTATTTATATTTTGACAGTATAGTCTTCTGTGCCTGTTTTTTGTAAGGCAGGCATCTTCTGATGTGTGAACTCGAAGAAGTTTTCAGCTTTTGTTGCATTTTGGGAGTTTTATACAACTAATAAATAAAATGGATATCAGTAGCAAGAACAACAGTTTATAATAGTAATATATAGTTGTAGTAGTAACAAAATAAAATGGTGATAATTATGATGATGATGATTATTATGATGACAATTAATGTAGTAGTTACCCATGACAATTGCAGTGCCTGTATCCTGACAGCCAGGAAGCACCATGTCAGCGGCAATACTAGCATTCTTTAGCAGTTCCAATGCTACAAACTTATCATTGCTTGATGCTTCTGGATCATCTAAGATCTTCCTTAATTGCTATAAAAAAAAAAGCAGCATAAGGGGCATGCTCATTGCTGATTACTGATTAAATGGATATAAAATGCCAGGGAAGGGGATCAGGGATTTCTAAGGCAAAGCAAATTTGTATCTCCTGTACTTATTTTAATTATTGTAGGCCAAACTCTTTTTCTGGTTGTTTTGTCTGTAATTGTATGTTGACTGTAATAATGTACTATTATGTTTAGTGATGTCAACAAAAGAAACTGAATCTGTATCATTGTATTAATCATTGTATTAAGGATTCTAGCAACAAAAAAGCGCAAGAGTGGGAGAGGGGATGCTGTTTGGGGTTTTTTTGACAGCCAAATGTGGGTGCATGTTACACATACAATATTAAAATGGTGACAAGACATATAGATATCATATGGTGCTTTGAGAAAAATGTATTGTATAATGTAGGATTTGAACATAAGACCCTTTCATTACAGTTTGGTTGCTCTACCAACTGAGCTATGAGGACAAGCTGATATACTTTTTTTGAATTGGATATAAGGATGATAGAATAGAGAGTACTGTTGTTTAAAGGTAAAAGCTTGATTCAGCGCTGTTGAATCTCACCGTGAGATGAGCTGGCCGGAGCAAATGTGCAATGTCCACCATAGCCTGCGAGGTCAACAATGTCAAAGCTTCCGGATCAACTTTAAGAATTTTCCTTCCTCCAAACTCAACCGTTGAAACATGTTTATCTGTTGAAAAAAGAACAGTTGGTTACAGAAACAATCACAACTTTTATCTTTTAATTTCCCCCTCTACCCAACTCTGCCTGATACATCTCGTCAGATAAAAACAAGGAACATTTTAAATCTAAAAGCAATATTTTGAGGTTCAGGACAGATGGAAATGGTCTGAAATTGCCTGTTACTTTTTTGGCAGTAGGGATTTAGCCCTGAACCTTTCAGAAATGTCAAACCCCCTATCAGACTACTCAGCACCTCCGTCAGACAAATCCAGGCGACACCACATGCTCTACTTAAAGTTAAGCTATGTGTCATTTAGGCTTAGGGTTTGCTGTTCTTATTTGGTTGTTACAAAAAGTCTTGCCACTAGACAGCAATTGTATCCAAGACCCAGGGATTGGAAGTCAAGGCCACCAGACTACTACCCCTATGCTAGTTGTTGGGTTGTAAGAAACCAGTTCCGCTCTGACAATTACATTTAAGATACAGTACCTGTGAGTTTTCTAAAGCTTGTCGAATCTGCTTTAACCGGTTGCCATATGTCTTGGTAAAGAAACGGCTTAACAGAAGTTGCAGCTGTAGCTCGTTGGCACCACCTCTGTTGCCATAGTGACAAACATGGTCGCAAGATCGTGTATAGTTTTACATGTTTCTGCATTTTTCTATAATCGTAAGAGAATTAAGTTAAAACAAAATGTACTGTATGTTTTACACCAATCCCTCTAAGCGCCTAAGGTCAGTACTACTACTGAGATACAATACTACTGGAAGTGATACTATTAGTATTTACTAGGCCTAGTAGTAGCTGGGCCTAGGCTTTCTTATTTATTTGATATTTGGCAATTGCCCATGATTCCTGGCTGGGACCAGGCTTAGTCTGTCTGTAGTACTGAGTAGGGCTATTGCTCCTATCAGTATCAACCAAGCCAAGGCAGTATTAAATAAATTAATTAATAAATATTATTTAATACCTCCTTGCTCCTACTATGTTGCTACTGACCCGGTAACAGGTAGTGTAGTTAAAACAGTGAATAGAACGCTATCTACGTTAGGCCTAGACGTTACCATCCAAGACAAGGTAGACATTGAGCCCAGCGTGACAAGCCTATCTGGGCTGGGGCTATGCTGGCCTAGGCCTAGAGTAAAAAGCATGCTATGCCTTACTAAGTTACGATGAATAATCTAAGAATCGCCCATCTCATTTCTAGGCCTACACTCCTGCACCCTAGGCCAGCGGTCTAAATATAATAAGTCATTACGACTAATAAACTATGTATGATTGAAATATCAAAGTATTTACTTATTAATTATTGATAAATAAAATAGGGTTTATCACACCTTGCACAGCAAGTCGCTTATCATTTTTTCGTTTTCCTCACTCTGGAAAGCGCCACCAAATTGTAATTTGGAGTAAAGGTCTTTATACCGTAAAACCAAGGTAATTCAACAAAAGGACGCACATCTCCGCTCTCGAACATAGCGCGTGCGTACAGTCCTTTGATCTTTACTGTGGCATCGACAA